GAGAGAATCTCAGATGAATTCTAGGCGATTGATCCTACAAGTTGGCTAGTGAGAGAGGCCCTTTAGACAATTGGAACAGCTCATAAGCCTTGCCATCTTAGAATGGCAAGAGTCATAAACGAGAAAAGTGTCAGAAAAGTCCTAAACATATTGTCTTGGTGTCAATTTAATCTTAAACCTTTTGACCTAGTGCCAATTCAGTCATTCCGGCTAATTTGGGCCGGATATTGCTAACGTGGACGCCAGACGGTCTACGTGACATGCAGGTCCCTTCTCGCAAGAAAGAAATCACTTTCCTTGAAACACCAGACAAATGAAAACTAACAATTTTCCTTGAAAATGATTTCCATGCAAAATATTTTCCTTTATGTTAAAGTTTTCAGTAAAATAAACACACCCATTTTCCACCTTAAATTTGCGAATGAAGTGATTGCTATATGTCGTAGCTCTTCATATTTGCTAAATTATTTTCTTCAAGCCGAGTGATTAATCTTGATAGTTTGTCTGTAAAACCAACAAAGAGGTGCCTTGTCCCGCAACGAAAAGATATGAGTGTGTGGACCAATATTTGGTGCAGCATTACTTCGATGAGAGTGGAATTACTGCTGTGAGCATGATTCCTGATTTGAGTGTAGGGATATCTTCTTAATGTTTTTGGTATTTTATGGAGAGAGTATATTCTGCGTGGTTCATTGCATGAGCTTCGAGGGTTTATTATTTCTTTTCCCCCTGGTACAGCGCAACTGTTTTCGCTTAATATAGCTTAGATACAAAAAAGATGTGCTGGCAATGACACGGGAGTATTATAAGGAGAGTAGGGACATTGACGGAACTTTAAGGCGAATGCCCCATCATCCGGTTTCTGAAAGGGCTGTAGTAAGCTTTTAATTCGTGATTGCTCATGCAGTTGTCCTAGCCATGCCAACTATTCGATTTGTTCGATTCCTTTCTCCAGATTGGCAATTTCATGTCCTTTGTAGTTCTCTCAACTAATTTTCTTTCTTTCGCTTTCCCCCATCCTCTACCGGCACTGTCTGATCATCATTTTTCTGTAATTATTACGTTGGTAGTTTTGCCTCATTTTTGTTTAAAGATGATGCTGCATAATCTGCTTTTTGGCTTTTTACAGCGACAGTCCTTGAAGAAGTTTCTTGGGAACTACTTGCAGGCATTAAAAGCTATGCCTAGGACTTTGAGAATGATGCAAGTGCTAAGCAGTTAGAGAAACATATGTTGCTCCGTGTGAGCTCTAGTTTAGCAGCTGCTCACAAAGTCAAAGGATTTGCTCTACTTGGACGCCTTCATTTTGCACTGAACTCGTGCTTTCGATCTTCATCTTTACTTGAGCCCAAATTATTGAGCTTATATGACAATCTTCATTGTTAGATGCTCAAAGCATCTTTTCCAATGTTTTTCATCGTCAAACAATGTTTTTATGTTACTTCACCTTGGTTTTCATGGTTCTCCCTGACGATCATTACAATTATGATCATTGGATTTTCTGATGTCCTCTCGAAACATGTAAATAGACTCCTTCAAGAAAGCAACATCGTATGGTTGGGCATGAGGGACCCGATATTTCTAGCTGGAGTTTCTTCTTTTAGGTGTTCACTTCAGTTGCTAGCAGGACTTGCTCCTCAGGTATGTACATAGTTACCAAAGCTATCTGTGGAACCATGCAGTGAGTGCAAGGGTGCAGAAGTATGGTATGCTAAGTACGGCATCAAAAAGACACGTTGAGGTTTTCTTTTTGGTATCCTTTGGTTCAGAACATTAACTTTTGCTCTGTTTTTCACCACGTGGCGGGAGCAGAACAAGTTGTGGTGGGGGACATAGTACATCATCAAGAACATGATGATGAGAATGTGGCAGAAGAAGTTGTTTCGGCTTAATTGACAACAAGGAGATCCTGTTTGTCATCGCTGAGTGTCATCTTTGTGGATATGGTCGATTCACTGAGACTCAATCATGTGGTTGTTCTACACTGCCTTTTGCCAAGAGCTTCGAATTGTTATTTCGATTGTTGTCTGTTGTTAGAACTCAGATTTTGTCTCTACTATTGTCTAGCTGAGTACTCCAAATTGTAAAGCTATTCTGTTTACCCTGTACTTCATTCCACTTGCTCACAACCTGCTCGACAGAATGCCTGACTGAATCGTAGATAGTTAGTTCCTGTTGCATTCTGTTTAAAAACGTTTTGATGTCCAATTGAAGTTGTGTTGGTTGTGTCTTACTACATTTCCTGTAGATAGTTGATTGAACAAATTGGGACTTACAGGCATACTGCGTTGCTTGTTGTTTATGCGTGCAATAAGTCAAATGCAGGCCATGTATCATTTGTTGTTTGATGTTCATATGTGTGTTTGCTGTGTCAACTGATGTTGAGCTCGCATCGGAAAATGCACATGGTATTACTCCTCTAAGCTGTTGGACATGAGAAGTTCTGATTCGAATGACGTGTGTATGATGTTACATTCATAGTCCTTGAGGCGCATAAACATGTATAGTGAGATGGAAATGTAGAATGCTTTGTATATATTGATATCTCATCAAATTGTCTTCGTTTCATGCCTTGAACATAACAAGGGTGTTTGCTGGTCGCTTTTGTTCATATTTGGAATGTCAGGATTTTGATCCCATTTCAATAGTATTTTAGTCATGCGAACATATAGAGAGATGCTACATTGATGTTACGTTCGTTTTCCATCAAATTGGGCAATTTCATGGCTTGAAACGATAAAAAATGATAAGATTCCATCCATATTGCCCAGATTCGAGTCAAGCAAAGTTGGTAATTGTTTGGCGTTACTTGGACCTCCTCAGCATGTATATCCACGTGAGAAAGAGACAGCTTTGGATTCACATTGATTTCATGTTGGAATATCACATTCTCATGCTCGAAGCGTGCTTAAGATGTCCTAGGAGCTTGCTGTCCGTATGTATTTATGCAGTGAATGAGTATTTTTTATCTCGTTCGGATGACAAACTTGTATTTGTGGTTGGTGGGGCCTTCGTTCCTTTGAAGCGGCAGCTACCTGCGCTTTTTGTTAGGTCTCCTGTGAGTGTTGCTGTCAACTTTTTTATCATATTGGACAATAGTGTGCATAGATGAAAGTTCCTTTCTGCGAGGGAAAGAAAGGAGTAATTTGAGCTAAATCTTCGTTGCATCGTGTTGACATCTTCTCAGCTTGCCATTCATGCTTTGAGATTGTAAAAATGTCACCCCTCGTTTTATTGGTGGTGAGTTGGTCGTTAATCCTAAAAAAATCAAAAATCAAAATCAAAAGCAAAAAAGTTGAAAATATAAAATGTAAAGAATGGAGATCGCATTTAGGTAGTTGCATCTTAGGAATAGTTTTAATTTGATCCAATTTAGTTTAAGATTGCAATTACGGAATTATCTCGGTACATGTTTTATACTCTTAGGTTCGAATTTTATAACTGGGAAAGGTTTAATGCAACCACACATAAAAATGACATCATTTCTACCGCGGCTCAACTGTAAATCTATTTCTCAACAGTTGCCCTAAAAAGGTCCGTCCTTCACATTGCCGGAATGGAGCGACTGAAAGTCTTGGACATATCATGTGTAAAATATCAAAGACAAAGCCAGAAGGTAAATAACGTTCGCCTCACCCCCACCCGTTTTAATACCGATTAGCTTTTCATTCAGAGATGCTAATTTACTCACAAATTGCTTGAAAGCAGTAACTTGCAAATGCAAAAAAGGAACCTAGTCTGAATTCTAAGCTTCTCTCCTGTGTCTTCATCAAAGCCGGAAGGAATAAAACATCCTAGATGCACAATAATGCATAAGACAATCAATTGCTTTGAAGCACAAGCGGTTATATCACAACGCTCAATCTTATTTTGAAGCTAGAGACTTCGCCCGTATGTTGGCAGGGTCTTTGTGATTATCGAAAGTGAAAGGCCGCTCCAGGCAAGCTGAGAACTATTTCATGGAGCATGCATAGGAAGTACCGGCTCTATCAATTAACAACTGACAATCGTGACATGATTTGAATCATCATAAGATCGGAAGATTCCGATGAAGTCGGGTAGCTATATTTGATGAACATCTATTACTCTGCGCGAATGCTCTAATATTAAATGAGTGTACAAAAGTCCAAAGATTGTTTGTAAGACTCCCTCAACAGCGACCAATGACCATCATCAATATGGGGTCGTTCAAAATGTCCAGGAACTTTCCTTCAATGGTCCTAAAGAAATAGGCGAAGGAGAAAAGGCTTCACAAGTTGGATTTTCTTGCAAAGCCGTCGGGCTGCTTCTTAAAAGAGGTCTTCATCGGCAAACTTGCTTTTAATAGTAAGCCCAAGCACAAACACCATCGACCGTTCCAAACAATTTCTTTATTTTTATTTATTTTTATTTTTTACAAATAATTTCTTTATTAAAATGATGATGATATTATTGCAAATAGCTACAAGAAAAAGGTCCGAATTTGGAGGTTGAATTTCCTACGGAATTACCATGAATGCAAAATAAAATGTTATAAAGTCTCTCTTGGAATCTTTTGGTCCCTCTCGAAATCTTGGTCAATAAACATTTATCTTTTCAACCTTATAACAACTCCTTTTCATCGATTGTGCTTCTTCCTCCAATGACTATCTGGAGAAATGCGAGGTCAATAACTGGACCTCATAAAAATTGGACCCGAAAAGAAGAGGGTTGGAATTGACATTTATCTGCCGTCAATGGATAGTTTTCGGATTAAAACACGCAACTTTACACACCAAAAAACAACAAGAAGCACAACCTCGAACAAACCCTACTCTAGCTGGATAGTTTTCACAAACTTAAGATTCCCAAGCAAGACAACCTACAATGCTTATCGGTGCCGATCTTATTTTGACACCAAGGCAACACTCAAAAGTATGCTTAACAGAGAACTCGATAATGTTGAATACATTAAACATCAAGAACTAAATGACAGCGAGATTCAGTGATTAGCTTGACAGAATTAAGACCTTTCTCTGTACTTCACTAGAGAAACTACACTTGAAAAATTAGATGAGAGTGAGATTCAATACTTAGATTACAAAACATGTAGAGAGATCTTGTTCTCCCGACAGACCAACTGTTAATCCTCTCAAAAGTAGGGATTTTATCATGTATTACTAACCAAGAATTAAAGTCAAATCTTGGCACATTAGGGGAGAACCACAAAGTCTGTACCAGTCAACATCAGCATTCTTGTTTCTAACAATTTCCCAAGTAACAAAAGAGTTAAGGCAACCAGTTGAAGAAGCTGTGCATACAACATTCTCTGCAGCTGAGGAATTAGGAAAATTCACACCACAAACAGCAGCTTGGATGGAAACCAACTCTCTAGACCTAGCAGCGGGCCACTTCCAATGAGAGTTACGAATAACAGCAGATACTTTGGCCTGCAGAGGAAGAGAAGATTCATAAGCTATTCTCCTTGAGAAATGATTCCGGCAAGATCCTAGCATGGTGTCACAAATCATACCAAGAGAAATATTATATCCATTACCCACCATATATCTAATGCGGAGTTTCAAGATATTCCCGACTTTTAATAACTTCTTCCAAGCATAAGTAGCATCTGGTTTCCAGTCAAGATGATAGCTATAGAGCCAGGAAAAACATAGAGACCGTACCTCAACAAAACACTCCACAGACACTTTAAAATACAAGCCATATTTCACAAATCCAGTCTTCAAATGCTAAGGCCTCCAAACTGCTTAGGAGGACAGACAGTGTCCCATCTAACTTTTGCTCCCTCTTTAGCATCCGAATCTCCCTTCCAAATGAAAGCTCTACACTTGTGCTCAACCATTTCAAAAACTTTCTTGGCAACAGAAAGAGTTGGCTCTAATAGTTAACCAGACTATAAATAAAAGATTTAATAAGCTGAAGGTCTTCGGCATATGAGCAGCTTTTAACTGTCCAAGCTTTAAATCTTGTTGTAAACTGATGATTTTATGAGATTATCTGAAAGTATTTCAGACCATCCAAAATAACTAAAAGAAAGAACCAAACAAGAACATAGGATTGGCTGATTGCTCATGCTATTTGATTTGATTGCTGCATGTTAGACAAATGCATCTTTTAAAAGCTTAAGCTTTTAGGAAACGAGCCAAGTGATTACATATCATAACACTCCCCTCCCATAGAACCGATCCCTTATGCACAACAGAATGTGGACGCAATCACGTCAATGAGATGACCGAGGAAATTTTAACAAACAACATAACAGACGAGAAATTTTAAATCATTGATATGTGCTTTGATACAATGCTAGAAATGAACAAGCAGTGCGGACAATTTGCCAATCCTTCAGAAGAGATTCTTTCTAAATTCTGATTACACCCCCATGATCATTACCCGCCTCTTAAACAACTAGTCAAAAGTAGCAGCAGAAACAAATCTACTCACCCTTTAAACTTTGCCAACCAGCGACTCTAGAATCCAGAGCTATACCTCTTTGATTCCATAAAGCAGAATATGAACAGTTAGCGAAACGAACTTTGGGCAAAGATTTCATTGAGTGCTATCCAGTCGGTGAAACGCCTTCATTTGTGTCTGTACTCAAACCGACTAAACCATTCCTTAGTCTTGGATGGTGAGTAGAATGCTGGAACGGAAGGGTTGAGGCGCAATAAATCCGTTTCCACCGTAGATTTCGATATGCGTCACAGTATGCTCAAAAATGAGAAGATTGCGTGCGTGAGAACAAGCACTTTGAATCGGCAGATGCAAACAGAAAGCTAATATCGAGTTCCTTCCACTTCAGGTGAATGCTGCAAAAGTAAATTTCACATATAAGAATCGAAATCAGTGAGGTGCATTCCACAACTTAGTAAATGTGTTCAAATGGAGTTTCCAGACTAAAACGGGAAAGAGGATTTAAAGCATCTTAATTGCCATTAACATGAAATGAACTTGCTCTATCCATCTGAAGTTCTGAGCCATACTTTTTTGATGCAATGCAACTTTCAAACATTTTTCAAACTCGTCTTTTGCTATTTATTCATCATATAAATCATGTCCAGACTTTAGATTCATCTAGTGGATTGAACATCAGGGGAAAAACAAGACACTCAGCGAACGGGGGAAAGAGAACATATACATACCTCTATCCCCGCCAGTAATTCGAGAACCAACAAAAAATCATGGGAAAAGCTTCCGCCAAAGTCCAAGATGTTAACAAGGAAGCTAGCCCGCAGTGGCACGTACCCCTTCTTCTTCGCCTCTACAATGAGGAGCAATCTCACGTCCGGGGTCCAACCCTTCAGCATCTCCTCCTCCTCGGACTTTAGTACTGACAAGCTCCACCAATGGGTGGGAATTGCCGATGTTAACCTGCGAGGCCAGCAAAGATGGAGAGAATGTTTGGGTAATGAGGACTGGAGCGTAGTGATGACAAAAGAATTGGTGGACGAGAAATCCAAAGTTCAAAGACGCGAGCAGCCCCCGTCAACAACAATTTGTGCCGGGATCGATGAGATCGTAGTGGGGGGAACCGGTACCAAATCTGAGGAGAGAATTTGACAGCGAGTTGAAATCAAATACCTGGTTTTTACCCCGAAGGGCCATCGAGAGGAGGAGAGCCGAAGAAGAAGCGGAGAGAGGCGGCGATTGGGATGGTGATGGTTACGCCCAAAAAAAAAAAAAGTCAAAGCTCAGATAATATTAAAAACCCCCCCTATCTCTTCCCCGCATATAATAGCATTCGAGTCTGAATCCTCCTTTTAAGTAATTGACCGGAATGGGTCACGGCTCAATCTGACCCGCGGGATTTCGCGGATGAGGGGCCAATAGCGGCCGGTCCCTTTCTTGCATCGATCCTCCAGAATCTCACATCCCCTGATCCAGAGCCATTCAAGGGAGGGAGGGAGGCCATCCTGGGGCAACTCCCTCAGCTTCGGGCAATTATCGATCCATAAGCTCTGGAGAGAGGGAGGGAGACTGCTGGCCAGTCTTTCCACCTTCCCCATGTCATACATACGGAGATGGAGCAGAGAGGAAGGGAGCGGAAGCCGAAGATCCTTCTCCTCTCCCGCTCCTCCGGCATTGCCTTCTATCCAGAGAAATTGAAGGGAGGTGAGGGGGGTAAGCCACTCCCTCACCGGCTGCTTCATATTCCCACATTTCCATACCGTAAGTTCCTGCAGCTGGGGTGGCAATCCTCTATCGGGGAAGCACGTAATACTCTCACACTCTGAAATTGCCAGTTCACAGAGATATGGAAGTCGATACAACTGATTAGGTAACGATTTTATCTTTGGACACTCCTTAAGAGAAAATCTCGAGATGCTGAGAGGAAGAAGAGGGAAGCACTCTAGCTCCAATGCAGGACACTTGACCAATGCCAAGGAAGTGAGATGGGACAGTGCGTGCAGGCACGGAGGTAAACTTCTCAAATTCTTGCAATCCCTAATTTCAATCTCTTGAAGCGACTGAAGACGGTCTATATTTATCTCCGCGAGCGACTCCACTCCATTGCAGTAAGAAATCCTAAGTGTCTCGAGGGTTGCAGGTAAAAATCTACCCTCGCTGAATAGAGAGGCTGGCAGAGAATTGCATTCGCGGATTGATAATTCTTGCAGACAAGACGTCATGTCAATGCAGTTATTGCTATTGCTACTGTTGCCAGTGCTTGGTTCATCCGGATGAATACTTAATCCTCTGGGTAAAGATTGTAACATATTGCAGCCTCTAACGTTTAATGATATCACCGATGTCGGTATACCTGTTTCGGGGAAGGACACGAGTTTTTGACAGTTATCGACCGTTAAGTCTCTAAGAGAGGAGAGGGTGTGCATCTTGCTTGGGAGCTTCTCTAAATTGACACAAAATGTCAATTCGATAGTCTCGAGATTGCCGGGCAGCTCCATATCTCCTTCTCCAGCCACAAAATATATGAATTTCGGACATCCATCGATGACTAAGTTCTTCAGGCAAGCGAGATTTCGGATGACATCTCTATCTTGCCACAAGTATATTAACTCGTTACAATTCCGCATCCCCAACTTCTCTAGCTTGATCAAGGAGCTTGTGAACCCATGATTTAAGCAAGTTAATTCAGCAACATTTTCAATGGCAAGAGCAGTTAGAGATGTCAGGTTTACCAAACTCTTCAATACCCCGTCATTACAACCTCCAAAGTTTAATTCATTGAGAGATGGAAGGCTCGTGATAGAGGGCGAGGCATCCATACGAGGACAAGATTTGATTTCAAGCGTTATGAGGGAGCTTAGTTGACTAGGCAATCTTCCCATCAACATAGGGCAATCCTTAATGGCGAGATGCTCAAGACAAGCGAATAATACTCCTACTCCGTCGGTGCGAACGCGATGAGACCAATCCTCCCACAATGGCATGTCCTCGAACACCAAAGTAATTAAGGACGGAAAAGGACTTTTAGTTCCATAAAATTCAGACCCTACCGTGCATATCGCATTTAGACCTTCGATGTACAATTCTTTTAGCAAAGATAGCTGCCCAAGTGATGGTAATGCTTTGGCCTTACGACACCCATGTAAACGTAAATGCACTATGTTAACATGTGGGGGACTTCCTAACCATGACGGGAATTCTAGGCCACCATAGTAGGATATTTCAAAATTTGCAAGCTTTTTGTGAGGGCGAAGAAAGTCCAAGACTTCTGCTTCAAGCTCTTCATTCCGAGAATTTTCAAAATTCGTACTCCATTGCATGTTCAACCGGTATATTCCCTCCTTGGTGTGTAAATTGGCATCTTTGGCATCTTCGGCTTCTCGAACCTTATGCAAATTAGAGATGCACAATTCCCCTCGAAGGTTCTCCAGGTTTTTTAACTCCTTCAATCTCAAGCCATCTCCTGTTGCCACTACAAATTCGGTCAACATCTCAAGATCCACCATATTACCTATATATAGCGGTATTGCTCTTAGCCTCGGAGTGTTGGTAATGTCAAGAAATCTCAGATTAATCAGTTTCTCCATACCTTTTGGTAATTCAACAAGAAATGGACAGTTCCGCAACATCAAAGCCTCTAGGTTGTACAATGCAATAATTGACTTTGGAAGCGTTCTAATATAAGTATGCGACAGATTAAGGTGCCTTAAGTGCCTTAGTTTGCCAATGCAATCCGGTACCTCTATGATACAGTAGCCACTTAATGAAAGCAGCCTCAAGTACTTCAATCCAGATAACAAGTCACATAGCACTTTCTAAGACAAAAATAAACTACTATATTGCTTATGCTTATCTAACGATATGAAACTCCTAAGTCCCTTCATTCCATGATATATTTTGAGTCTTTCTGACACAATGTGACCGTTGGATATGAATGAGGCATGACGAGCTAAAGATGCAGTATGTTGATTACCTTCGAACTTAAACTCCTCTGAGTTAAAATGGGTTGCACCTGCAACTAGCTTTGCCAGGTCATTCACAAGATCATGCATCAAGAATCGTGATTCACTTCTACTCGACTTTTGAAGTAACGATCTAGATACTAGCTCGTTGAAAAATTTCAAACCTGTATTCCAACAGTTCTTTCCTTCTTTTCCCTCCAACAAACCCTCTGCAATCCACCAGTGAATCAACTCATCCCGTTGGATTTCATAGTCATTGGGAAATATAGCACAGTAAGCAAAACATCTCCTTAGATTCAAAGGAAGATGGAGGTAGCTAAGTTTCAAAGCCGGAAGGATGTCATTACTTTCTTTTGGTAGGTCCCAAATTTTGCTGTTCAATATAGCTTCCCATTCATGGGGACCAACTTTGGTGCGTAGTAGCCCGGCCAATGTCTTCGTTGCTAATGGCAACCCTTTGCATTTTCCCACTATTTTTCGACCTAATTCTTCAAGATGGGGATGACAATCGAAATTTCCGACTCCAAGAGCATGAAATGCAAACAAAGTCATACAAGCATCTTGTGGCAACTCTTTCAAAGTATATGGTGGAGCACCGGCTATTTCAGCAACTTGGAGATTACGAGTCGTGATGATGATCTTGCTTCCCTTCGCTCCCGATTGAAAAGGCTTCAAGAGGGTAGTCCAGTTTCCATAATTCTCGTTCCAAACATCGTCTAGAACAACAAGAAACTTCTCCCTCGAAAGGTTTTCCTTGAGCTTATCTTGAAGCCAATTCAGGTCCTTACCTTCACAAGACAAATGGCCATTGATTGTCTCTAGGATTGTCTTTGTAATAGCAAGCACGTCGAAATTATCGGAAACGCAAGCCCATGCTTTCGCATCGAAATAGCCGGTGACTCCAGCATCATTGTAGACTTGCTGAGCCAGAGCTGTCTTCCCAACACCTCCCATCCCCACAATGGGAATCACTTTTAGATCCGCATACGTTCTATCATCCTCTTCTCCTGTCAGTAATTTGAGGATGTCCCTTTTTTCATCCTCCCTACTAACGAAACCAGGCTCGGGCAAATAGGTGGTGGGAAGCGGCTTATCCTGTCGGCAGTATGCTGATCGATTCCCGTTAGTCTCTTTCAAGTTTAGAGTATCTTTCTGAGTGATGACATCCTTTAATCTGCCATCCATCTCTTCTATCGCGGATCTCATTTTGTGATCGAACATAAATGCTCTCGGGCTTGATCTGAAGCAACAACTCGGAAGAAGGGAACGCACCTTGCTAGTATCGGGTTCTGCCTTGGACTTGTTTTCTGCAGATTCTGTGGCGAACTCATCTAGCAAGTTTTCGATGTCGTAGGCCAAGTTCCTGAGATCTTCGAGCCACAACTTCACCCCAAGATCGCCAATCAGTTGCCTGTCCTCTGCATCATCCAGCACCTGGTTGATACTGATTAGCATCTTCTCCCATTTCTTCAGCAGCGTATCGATACCCTCGCGCTGCGCAAAGTAGAGAAGCTCGCGAGAGGCCAACCTATCAAACAGCACCTGAAGAAAGGCGCCAAGAAAGAGCTCCGCGAGGGGCATGGCTTGATTCGTGAGCGGCAGAGGATTAAACAAGAGTGCGAGGACGGTTCCAAATAGAGTGTACTGAGCGGAGAGGAAACCCAAGTTCTTACTTCCAGGACAACAGCGTCAAATGATAGTGCGAACCAAAGACTTTTCAAGCACTGAAGTGCTCTTTCTTTCTCGGAAGAAGCTGCCGTTGGATTTCATCTCGTCTCATTTGAATTTGAATTTCATTTCTTTTGCCTCAATTTCTCGGAAGCAAGTTGGTCGGACGTGGGACCGACAAGTCTTGGCATCATTAAAGCCACCAAAGGCTCAGAAAGTAAAGAAGAGGGCCCCGTCTCCAGCCCAACCCCGAAACTCTTGCTCTATTATTGCTCAATCAGTTCTCTCTCACCGCTCACGTCACACAAATTCCCAAACGCACCCATCCACCATCATCATGCATCACATAGATCATAAGGCATCATGGTTTCATTGATGCAGCCTCATGAACCCCATCCCATTATCAAAAGAAGGAGAAGTTATTACATAATTTTTGTTCATGTAGATCGAATACCACCTTAACACGAGAGCTCAATGTACTGAAAGCTCCAAAAATTATGCAGTCGATTGCTCAACAGGTGTCCAGAAACACTTGATAAAAAAAAGTCATATCTAAATAATGTCCAGAAAGAAAAAAACTGTTACTTTTCTTCATTACTATGGTTGCTACCTAGATTTGCTCTCGTAAAGATACATTATGCATAAGATTAGGGGGGAAAATTTGACTGGCCCCAGATCGAATTTCATTGCAAACCTTCAAGCTGGTTTAGACACAATTCGATCGCTAAATCTTTAAAAAGAAAAAAAATATCGTAAATACCTCATTGGTATCGAGGTTAAACAAAATATGGAATTTCAAGGCAGCAACGTCAGATAAGTTAGGCTTATGTCTGATTAGGAGAATAGTGGGAGTACCTAACTCCAATTCGTCCATCGACTCAATATTTTCCAAAGATGGACAAATTGAAAAAATTTAATTAACTAAAAGGTTTTTTTTTTCGGAAATTACAAGGTTTAAGGGGTGGTTCAAGAAATGGGAGCCAGACAAGAACTATTGAATTATTGTACGAAGCAAAGGACGACCTCTTCGCCTTTCCCAGTTGCAGGCCCCATGGGCAAAGCATGGAAAGAAGGGTGATTGTGGCGGGACATGCGCGGAAGCCAAAGGCATCAAACTTTTATAATTCATACAATTACTTCTCTATTTTCATTGCTCTTTTGCACAAATAATTTATTTATTACTCTCTCTCTCTCTCTCTCTCTCTCTCTCCATGTACAATGATTTTCTTTGCCATTTTGTTCTTTGGATGCTTTGCACATGGGGCCTGCAACTGCACATGGTGAAGAGGGCAGAGGGAGAATGACGTTGGATCCCTTCTTACTATCCTTCGCACAGTACTCCTTGTTGCTGTCTGGCCCCCCATTTCTTGACCCAGCTAAATACAGGGTGTCAGGACATGCTTGTTTACCGAGGAATTACAAGGTTCCTGTTGAGACGCAGTCCTGTTCTAAATAATGTGCAATGCTCTTTAGGGTGAAGTGCGCCCTCCTCATGATAAATTGCTCGCTTTTTTTTATGGTGAAGTGCATGCTTCTCAAGATAATATACGATCTCGTTCTCGTTCACATCAAATTCAACATTTACTAATAGTTCATGGACAACATTAAACAAATTAAAAGTCAAAGAACGAGATTGCACATTGGACCAAAGTTCAGGAACAATATTGCACAAACTAAAAGTTCATAGACGACATTGCACATTAGATTAAAGTACATAGACTACTTATGTTATTATCTCTATCAAAATTGACTGAGATGCGAGTGATCGATACATAAAATACATTCTACATGTCATGCAAGCGGATGGGCTTGGATAGAAGATGTAGACTACAAAATTTGCCAAGGGCTTTTAAGCTGGTTCCGGAGACGAATGACACCAAGAAGGCCTCAAAGAATGGAATGAAACTTTCATTCTAGTCAAATGGTCTTTTCCATTCTTACAACTACACTGTAAGAAAAATAAATTGAGGTTGGTACAAATTACAAGTTATGTCTGTTGCGACAATTTAAGATAAGTTACTATACTAAGATGATTGGCATTCTCATCGTACGAAGTCTATAGCTAAACTCATACGTGAAAAAGAAAAATACTAACTACAGGTGCAATCCAAATTACAATGAGATCAGTTAAATCACAATTGCTGGATTTATATATTACTAGGTACAAGAACAATAAGGCGTGACCTACAAGGGAAATTACAATACCGTTAAAAGGAGCAACATCTCTTAAGACGAAGTCATTTACCTTAGAGGAAGTAATTTAATTTACCTTTGAAATGAGTAATTTAGCTCTGAAAGTAAAGTTCGTAAACCGCTTCTTGTATCATAGATGCAAAATAAAATTCATAAACTATATTTTGTGTTCGTAAATTAGCTTATTGTATATTCATTAACAACAAAGTGCAACTTCAGACAGTACAGGCCTCCGAGACTTCTTAAGTCGGTCTCGATCCTCGAGAGCATCGATCTCCCCTCAACGACGAACGGAATAAAGACCAAACTATATAGGTATATTGGTTTGTAACCTTGATATCAAGCTCTTCATTGCATACACTCTTCTGTGATCCCCCTTTACATGTAGATGCAAAATGGAAGAACCAAAATCTCATCAAACGACACACATTTTACGTCTTCACTTCTTGCCGCGCGCCGCTCGTCCATAAAATGCAGGAGAAAAGAATGGACTGATGGGATCTACTCCCGTCACTACAGGCATGAATTTGATCCCACTTAGTGCACGTACGTCTCACCTCATCGACTCATAAGCAGACGGCACATCGTGCAAGGGATGGCCTCTCCGGTTTCTCTCCATTATCCTTCTTGCCAGGGAAACTTGCTTCCCAACTGCAAAGACAAACGCTTTGCCTTTCCCTTTAGCACCTCTCGCTGTTCTTCCAACACGGCGTACATATTCGCTCGGATCGCGCGGGAAGTCAAAGAGAATAACATGATCCACTCCGGTAAAGTCGATTCCTCGTGACGCCCTGCCGTATGGTTAAAAAAACATCAGGATCTTGCAAATACTTAAGGAAAGATGAGAGTGACATGTCTTTGGTAAATTCATATGTGCCCAGTGACCCCGCCAATAGTTAAAAGCACCCGCCTTTCATTTGACTGCCGCAAACAGTGCTGTTAAAAGCACTATGCGCTGTTAAGAGGCTCAGAACCCCACAATGCCTCAGGTGCTAGGCTGAACAATGAGAGGTGCTCAGTAAAAAGTGGGGATTAAATCCATCAACAAACAATTTATTAGGTCTTCCTACTTAGAATCCCAAGTTATTCAAGGTCTGCATTGCAGCACATATTGCACCGGTGCAATATGTTGAGTGTCTACAAGTGAACAAAGAATTAAAAAGGCGAGACTACGAGATAAGTAGATCGACCTTCATTGTTTTTTTTTTTTTTTTGTTCCATGCTTCCTCACAAGCTTTGGAAGACAAAGGACCGAGAGAGAAACATTGTGGCCGTTTTGAGATAAAAGAAGCTACAAATCTTTCGGCTTCTCAGAGCCTAGTAGCTGTCCTCCACTTCCAACAGCTCTTTCAAAAAGATATTTACCTATTCTCTTCTTTACTTTTACTAAGAACGGGAAAAAGAAGTTAAAGAAAAATTTAACCTAGACAAATCTTCTCAGAGGAGGAGAACCTCACCTCAGGCGCTTACCTTAAATGAGGAAATTTTGCCTGAGATGAGGTGAGGAGCAGAGGCTTTGCCTCGCTTTGCCTGAGCACCTAGGTGAGTGCCTCGAGTGTTCGCTAACACTCGGCTCTTGCCCATCGGACAAATTGAGCTGAGCCCAATACCGAAAAACTCGCAAAATCCAGAAGACAGAACAAGGCCCATCCCAGCCATTACTATTTTCATCTAATTCTTGCTGAGACTGACTACATTATTAAATGTGCAAGTTTGAACAGAGAACTGAAGACCTGGGTCTTGGCAAGCCATGCATAGTTTAACTAAAGGCTTACTTTTAGGGATCAAGATTGGCTGCTGAGCAGATCTATATCAAGAAGCACATATTGATTGGTATTGGACAAAGCAACTATACATACCTGTCGGTGCAAACCAAAAACAAGGAGACATCTTTAGATGGAGAAGCAGCAAACTCTTTCATATTTGCCTGTCGCGACTCTTGTGAAACAGCAGCATGAAAAGGTAGAACTCTTGTACGAGCACCTTTTCTGTCAACGCGTTTCAATGCATTTTCAACTTTTCGACATGTCTCGATCTGTATATGGAGAAGGAGGATGATTTAAAAGTAATGATGAGTCCTCCATCCAGGTGGCTTCAGAGACTTCTCTCAAACTCCAGGTCAGGAGTTTGCGAGATGGTCGGGAGAGAGATGTAAATGTAATGATGAGTCAATTTCAAGCAGCATATACTGAAAGATCAACATACCTTGTTGCAGAAAACAATCGTTTTGGTTACTGGGCTTTCTTCCGCAAGCTGAATAAGAGCAGACTTCTTATTCAGGAATGCAGTATCTGAAGTCTTTTCGCTGTCTTCCTCTCCACTACAATCTATGAGAAACTGGAGATGACACGTAACAGTTAAATTCTCCTCTATTACAATGGTACTCGGTTTGTTTTCTTTTTGATACTAAAATAGGAGGAATAGCACTGGTTAGCTACCACAGCAAATTTATGCGACATGTTCATCAAGGGGGAAGGACAAAGCAATCTCATGTAATAGAAGAAAACTGTTCAACCCAAATGAGAAAGCTCTTAGCCTATCTAAAATTACTCTTGGGAAAATAATCCTTCTCCAGTATGTGCAGCATAAATTAGTTTGTACAATACCTCTGTACAAAGTTAAATTCTGAGAATCAACAAACAGGCAAATGAAATAGAAAAAAAATTTGGGACAACTGCACTAACTCTTCTGCAAATTGAGGAAAGAAGAGAAACAGATATGATCCAAATATAATCCTCAATCATCTCAGCACAATCAATGAAATTTCAGAGACTTGTCCCGATTTTATTTTTCTTCACCTCCAAGCGGTTTTAATGACTTACAGAATGCTGGTGGCATCTTTAGATAGTATATATTGCTTTTGGTCAAAACAATACTATAGACTACCAATACGCATGTGCTAAGAGTCATTCAAGGAAAAAATTTCATTCCACTCTTCATCCACTTTCCACCTTCCCCAGTCATATGCAGTAACAATCGACCCCCAAAGCCAAAGCCAAAGCATCAAGGTAAAACCAGGTTCCATCTCTTTTAGGGAGCATAAACGACAGCTTAGTTATGAATAATATATTGTCCAAAAGCATCCAGAAAAATGTATATACACGGACGTGAATCATTTTGTGCCTAAATTAGATAACAGTAATGTATCCATTGGCAATTAATAGAAAGGGGAATAATACTGCTTTAGACCAACCTCTTCGAGGTGAGGGCTTGTCCGATGAATGCCAGGTCCCATGATCACTTCACAGTCGGGGAGAATTTCAACTATTTTGTAATATATATCTACTGGCAATGTGGCTGTCACAAACAGATACTGTGTGGTGACAGGTGAAGAATTGATTATGCTTTGAAAAGCTGCTTCAAACTCCTCATCATTGCAGAGAATATGCACCTCATCCAAAATCACGCTGCATCGTAAAGCCATAAACTGTAGCAGCAGTTGCAAAACAATCTGCAATATGTATAAAGAAACCATTCTTCTGTTTTTGAGTACACGATAGCTACATAGAGATCTTTGTTTGTAGTATAGCATGGACTGAAATCTGCTGAATGCCAAAATCAACCAGGCTTTGAAGTCATTCAAATTCTTAGCGCAAATCCATTAACAAAAGTTTTTTTTAACTTCATATCCTATATCGAACAATATGACGAGTGGAGATTTTTCAAGTTGTCACCAGTCAATTTCAAGGAAATCTATTGGGGCTAACAATTAGCAATATATCTAGCATTTTTGTAAATCAAAGCAAAAGTCTCCATAACTCAAGCCAGAAAATCAAGATTCAGCTCTGTGTATGTAAGAATAGAAAATTTCGCTAATCTTTTCCTTTCCTCAAAGAATGGTGATGATACGTAGTGGCAGTACTAAATCTAGAAAACAGTAGCACCATCACATGATTTTGAATAGCTCATGCACCCAAACTCATTCACGCAACATTATACGATGCATAGGCTTACCATCTAAGATCCTTCAACTCCAAGAAGCCTTCTTTAACGAGAAAAATGAAGCGACCAGGAGTGGCTATTAGGACATCAACACCTTCTTCTATATTTTCCAGCTGAGTTTTCTGCCTGAAACCACCCGTGGCAACCATAGACCGGAATGGAGCCCCAAACTTTGATATGGATCGGCAGTTACTCAAAACCTGCATAAAACTTACTATAGCTATTAAGTATCAATCATGTGGGCGCGAAAGATTACGTTATGTTTGTCATCCACTACTAGCAAAAACAGGCATTGCTGTACATAAGACCAACTATATCCAAATTCAGAACACCTCCATTTTCAACAGCTTCAAGGAGATTTCCAGTTATTATACATGAGAGGATTATGCACATCATATAAGCAACTGTGCCACTCAAATTGTATATTTGTCTTTCCAGGAACCCAGTAAAATCCTTGGGATTGGAACACTTAGGAATCTCTAATTATTTTTTTCTTTTTTGAAAGAAGAGATGACAATTTGAGTATTATAGGCGACAAGTTGTTAAAAACAGGTTGACTGCCACCAAAAATGAATTGGAGTGCTTTTTTACCACAAATTTGCTGCTTGAGCAATAGCCTATCACAGTATAGGATGAGAGCTTAAAATGGCCATAAACTAGTAAAAGCTGGTGACTTGCTTGCCAAAGCACGTAAGGGTCAAAGAAAAGGCACAAGAAAGGACACAAGTACCGACCTGTGAAGCTAACTCAGCAGTTGGAACCAAAATGACAACTCGAGGGCTTTGTGAGAAGGATTTGCTAAGTCCTTGCAGCTCTTCTTGCCTGAGACGTTGGACTACTGGTGCAAGATAAGCCAGCGTTTTTCCCGAACCACTCTGATCAGCTATAATACAAGTCTTTCCCTCAATAACAGGTTTGAATGCCATTGCCTGCAGTCGTTCATAGTTAGCATCAATCTGAGTTGCTATACACTAGGAGAAGATCTTCCTTTTTGTCAAGGTGTAGATAGAACATCTTGATGTAATTACTTATCAATACCCATGCAAAGGAAAAGACAAAAACCGATGCTATAGGTTGGCCCCTTAATGACTTCCACATCCATCAGCTCCAAATTCACACTTACAGATAAAATATTAATGGTGATAAATGCAAGCTTACCTCTAGAACTATACAAAACAAGGTTATCATTTATTTGAAGCTCGACGTGGATATCATGCAGACAGTAGATATAATGGAAAATGATTAGAACGTGGTCAAGTTTAGTATATTGCCAGCTAAAACAGCAGTAAGGAAGCAACAACCAAGTTCCTTCCATTTGCCCAGCACAATAAGAGAAAGCAACAAGCCGAAACCTTTGAGTTTGAGTAGGTCATACTATTGATGTACCTGAATATGTGAGGGGCGCAGAAAACGCTGCTTCCTCAAAGATTCAATCATAAAGTCACTACAACCCAAATCTTCAAAGGACTTTCGACTATGGAAGTCGCTATTGGAGGAAACTTTCCTATGCAAGTATAGATCTTTTGACTCGGATCTATAGTCATCCAGGGAAACCCCCCTGCCCCATCCTCTGAAATCTGCATTAGAACTACGAACTGAATGCTCAGTTCCAACTACTCTGGTGGCAGATATGCCATGTTTATCAGGTTCCATTCGGCGCACTAAATGATCCACATCTTCAGTGTCAGTCCTCGCTGCCGTGTCATTGGCAGCTTTGGATTGGTAAGCACCTGAATCCTTTCCTCCAAGTCCAAGGATAGCTGCTTTCTTCTTTTTCCCCAGTTGGTCCAATTTAGAATTAGAGAGATCAGGCACATCAAAAGGTACATTTTCCGCTGCTGATTCATAATCTTTGTGACTGGCTTGCTTTAGCTTCGAAGATTTTTCAGCAAGAGCTTTGACTCTCTGCGATTTCAATCGTCCAAAACTTCTGCCTAAACCACTCACACTTGCTGTAGGAGAATCATCTTTTGGCAGGGTTGACCCGTGATGATTGCCTGCAAAAGAAGAAATGACTGTCAGACTTCAATTTATCGCTGGAAAAACAAACTCATCTCCAAGCTCTGACTGTACACATTACACAGAGGCATTGAGTGCGCTACAAGAAAGTCTAACACAGATGAAATGGGAGAGAAATTTCTAACTCGTTCCCACATATATGTTTTCAAGCCAAACTAAGAAAAACCAAAATAATTTGCCCAACACTGTATGATTCAGATAAGCTCCAAAAGAAGAACTAGTGTTGCATTTGTCATACATTTGACCACACTGATTCGGCCGTGGCTTTTGCGCAGCACGAAATGCATATAACAAATTGCTTGAGTTGTTCCGAAGGCTTGGATACCGTTTATCGACAATGCATACACAAAAAACCCAACAAAAAAAAAAGGAAATTCGTCATCAGAACGAACCACAGTAGTTATTCAACTTGCACACTCACATCAAACACGTCTATAGTTGAATGCAAACTATGCTAGCTATAGCTCTATCACTGAGATAATCTAACCTAGCATTCAGCTCCCATTGTCGCTTTTTCCCCCTTTTTCTTCCTTTTTTTTTTGCCCTTTTCGCTAAAAGCTAACAACAATGAAACCGCCAATCAACGACAACAACAGAGCAATCCCAAAATATCTCCTTCATCTGCCACGTTCTTAAAACCAAATACTACCCATCATCCACATGACCCAAAAAACTCAATTCGCAAGCGAAGCGCATCACCTCCGCTAGAGCCGCCACGGCCGCGGCTCCCGCTGCCGCCGCCGCCGCCGCCGCCGCCGCTCTTCCTCGGGGGCTTCCACCGGAGGACGTCTTCGGGCGGAACCGGGGCGTCGGCCGGGTCGTCGCTGCCGCCCCAGACGATGAACCGCTCGCCCGTCTCGTCATCGGTCAGCTGGTAGGCCCCCGGCGTCCCCAAGGGCGTCCTCGTGTAGCCCCCCGACCGGACGGCGACGTGGCGGGCCCTGCCGCCGGGGAGGCGGCGAGCACCGAGGGCCCGGGAGGGGAGGAGACGGGGGCGGAAGGAAAAAGGGTACGCGACGGAGCTGGAGCTGGAGCTGGAGCTGAAGGGTGTGGAGTTGAGGCTGACTGGAGGGGAAGGAGCTTTCGCTAGCATCATTGCGCATGCCCGGAAGAAGAAGAAGAAGAAGAAGAAGAAGATGACGATGATGATGAAGACGAAGACGACGAGGATTTTTTTTTCTTAAACCCGAAACACCTGTAAATTTTTTTTAATTTTATAAATATTGACATTCTGCGGACTTATATTTGAATTTTCCATAACTTTTTTATTTTTTACGAATTTTCGGGATATATTGGAAGGACTCGAAATATAAAGAAAAATAAAATCACTTTAGTCATTACATTGAGAAATTGACGCCTTTCTACTCAAAGTTTTCCCCTTTTTAAGATTTAAACTATCGGGACAACATACCATGAGTCTGAATTTTATTCAAATAAAACTTTTATAAGCCGTAGATTTGTTTAAGTCCTTATACAATCTATTATTCTCGTTCCAATTCGGTGTGTACTGATAAATTCCGTAAGTTGTTTTCTCAACTAAGAAATGATATATACCAGAAGGAAAATAGAAGTCTTATAAAGGTACTACCACACCACATTTGAGAGTGCCCTAGATTATTTCAAGGCATCCCCCAATCTATCGTGAAATCATTACTATCGCTTCGTTGGGAAATATATCAATAGGCGAGCGAAGGAATTTATTGAAACTAATTCACATAATGAGATATTGATGATCTAATAGAGACTATAATTTTTCAAGGAGTATTTTTGTAAAATTTATATGTTTTTTCTCATTAGTCGAGGACGCAATTGAATAGATTCAAAAAAATTGTGGGCCTCTCCTAATATGGGGTATCCCAATCAAGGAAATAAGTTTGAAAAAGTACCCCGCTCTTGCAAAATTGGAACGTGTACTCGTTTAGGATAAAGTCCTCTTACATCCTTACTCCATCCGGGTTACCATATTACATGTTGTGGTTATATTACCAAATAATGACACGAAGAGTAAAAGATTTGGAAACGCAAATATAAAATCGAGAGAGATGTGTGATTCACGAGTGATGTGATTGATCGGTCACGCATCTTTAATGACGTGATCGATAAACAAAAGACATTCTCTAGTGGTCATGTCATGTAGGGGTGTGCAAAGCGGACCGTTCAAATTGGAAATCGCCTGGATCAGACTAGACCAAACGGTTTGGTCCAATTCCTGAGAGTGTCGGTTCGGTTCCCGATTCCTAAAAGTGGAACCAGTGTCCACGCGATCTGGTTCCTGGTTCCATGGGAAACCAAACCAACTACATTACTTTTTTTTTTGTGATTATGTGTAGTCGATATGGGAATACCATTTCATTTTTATAATATGTGTAGTCGGCATAGAGAACACAATTCATCATCGCATTGGCTAGAATTGCACGCTTATATTTTGTGATTATGTATAGTTTGCATGGAAAACACAATTCTAGTTTCAAAATATATGGTATCAAGTAATGAGGAAAAAAAAAAAACCGGTTCCATTGGACTAGACTAGTGTCCGGTCCTCAATTTGCCGGTTTCACCTTGGAACCGGACCGGACCGGGAACCGATCACCTCTAATGTCATGCATATGGATCAATGTGTTTAGGCTAGAAGTTGGAATCCGAAAGAATTGAGAGATTTGTTCCCAAGGCCCATTACCAAAAGGCCTCGTAGGTTGGTTCAATGGGCTTTTAAGCTTGGTTCAGAAGATGAATGGCCCCAAGAAGGCCCTCAAAGAGTGGAATGGAACTCTTTTATCCAAACAAAATATTCAAAGGAAAAGAAAAATAGAGCATACAGCTCCACAGTATGAAAAGAAAATCGTACACAAACGGTTTTTTCCATCCTTAATTCGAAATTGCGACTGTCCACTTTCTCAAATAAATGGCGTATAAGGTCACTTGTGTAAAGTTCTTTTAACATCTATGGTATGTACTATGATTACTCGCAATCGAACTAAGCAAATTCCGAGGTATCAACCTAGTATCTTGAATCTAAAAAAAAGTGGGGATCCAAATATTGGCCGATAAATGCACCAATCAGGCTGCTAGGGAGGCGGAAAATGTACTATTTAATATGCGATGAAGTAGACAGAGTCCATCGCAACGTAGAAACTATACAAATATATGTGTATTTTCTTGTATAACTCGATACACGTCTCGCTATTTTCTTGATTTGTGATTGACGCGAACTGTTTGGACCGAACCTATGTTCTAGACCATCGGAAAAAATGTCCTTGATGGCAGCAAATTACAGGTATTGTTTGTTGCGGTGTCTTTGCTCCTTTTCGAGTTATGCTCTCTCGATTTGGAATCGAGACTCTTATATTGATTATTCCTAGTTAGCGACAGTCATTATGAAAGGAAATCGGAGTACAATTCAAACATAAAAAGGTTTTGGGTTTGAATGAGATTCGAGCCTTGCTCTGCTAAATAATGAAACGAACCTTACGCGAGGCGGAATCTATCTGACCATCCCGAGATACCAATCAAAAGCCAATCGAGCACATCTTTTCCATCTTACAGCATCCCCAATCTAACCACGGACGTCTGTCTCTGAGCCAATCGGGAAGGTAAATCGGTCGAAACGAGCGTAATTCGATCGATACATCGCCAAGTCAGGACGACGAAAAATTGAGGATTTAGATTAAAAAAAAAGGGAAAGGAAAAAAAAATCCAAGACGCCAGCTTTTCAGAGAGAGTTGAATTTTCATTTCCATGATGGGCTCGTGCAAAGTTTCAAAAAAAGTCCAAACAATGATTGAAAGTTGCAGCCGATTTCTGTGGCTCGGGTGGGCCTATAATTGCAATTATCTTCTGGTGTTAAATCCAGCATGCAACACCAGCTGTAAGGCACGACGAGCGAAATTTAAGGGACCTGACATTTGTCCGCGTGACCTCGTTACCAATATGGACAGCGAAGGTCACGGCACAATCACTTGGGAAAAAAACAAAAGAAGAAGGACGAATTGAAAAACATTTTTCAAAAAATGATATTTTTCATTTTTTGAAATAATTAATTAACGAAAAATATTTTTTTATCGACAATAATTTATTCGTATACATTTTCACGGACGATGGGAATAAGTTTCGGTCGTTCATTTTCGTAAGCGGTACGAGTCATTATTTTCGGAAATTTTTTTTCGAATTATTTATTTTTCGCGAAATAGACGGAGCCTCGCGAATATTTCGTTTTTATTTAGTTAAAGCAATGCGCAAAAAGGAAAAAAAAAAAAAAAAGAGATGATGCGGACGTGTTATAAGAACCCACACCTACCATGGCATGTTTCCCGGGATTTTGGAGGGGGCCATTTGCTTTCGGAAATAAAGAGCGCAATTTGATGTCACCTTATGTTTGATGCTACAGATTCCGAAAATATATGGGTGGAGAAGATAGACTCCATCTCAGCTTCGGTCGGGTAATGCCAGGTAGATCGGTATAGTAGTCATCCGCACCTAGGGTGACACGGGGATGTCTCGGCACCTACAATTTAATGTTACCTTTTTTTAATGTTTGATGCTATGCTCCGAATAGGCTAGGTTGTGTTCAAATAAGCTTGGAGGTACTATCATTTAATTCTCTGGGGATTAGTAAAGAAAAAACAAGGGAAAAAAAGGGATGAAAGAGAGCATCGAGAGAGAGAGCAACAACGGCGGCATCGGTCACACTGCCTCTACGTGATTGTCGTCGAGGCGATTGCCGTCCTCAGGCCACGCATGACAACGGTGGTCATTGCTCTCGAGCCACCACCGCCACCGGGTCTCTCTCTTGGAAGTAGATCTAGTGAAGGAGAGCCGCCGCGACGGCGGTCGCGGAACTCACAGGCTGGGCTTTTTCGAATATCGACAGCAGTCGTGGATCCCTCTCTCTCTAGCAAGCGCTCACGCGCGCACGCCACAAGATCCTAGGATCACAACCACCACAGGGCGATCACGGTCCTTAGGCAACCATCGCGAGGCGGTAATCTGTATCGAAACAACAAATTGAAACGAGGGACACCCCTATATACAAAGTGCATGTCAACCTGACCCCGACATCACGTCAAAATGTCCCAGACTCAAAAGCTTAGGAGTATACAAAGCCGTAGACAGAAGATGCGAGATACTTCGACCGTCTGGTCTTAACAACGGCTTTTGGCAGTTGGTCCCAATGACACTTTCTTTCTCTCTCGATTTCAGTCGAGACCTTAGCCTCTTATCTCAATGCAACCATCCATCACATATCAAAAGCAAGATTTCTCATCTTTCTTCCAAAGCTTTTTTATAGATGATGGCGATGGCGATGTCCTCTGACCGATGCACATCCCATCAAATTGGAGCCACTCGAGCAAAAAAGATGGGGAGCGAGAGCGACACTCAAACCTCTAAGTAGATCTACTAAATGGGTGAATCAGATCGGGTTTGGATCAGATAAAAAATAGATCGACTCAAATTGTTCCATTAATTCGTTTATGACCCATTTTATATCCAATGCAATTTTCTTGATCCATACCTGAATCAGCCCATACCGACTCATACCCAACCCGATTAATATTGCTAAAACACTTTTATATTTAACTAAATTTAGAAAAACTATACCTAAACTAATACGAGAGTACGGAGTGAGTGAGCGCGAGATTGAGTGAGCGCGAGAAAGATAAGTTGAGTTTAAATAAGTTGTAAACCCATTTATGATCAATTTACGATCCATTTATAACCCATTTAACACATATATTATATATACCAATTTATAACCCATTTACTAATATATGGGTTCAGAAATGGGTTTATGACCCATTTTAACAGATCTGCCTCTCAGCAAAAGCATTTACCACAAACTTGTCGTTGCCCTCCTTGTGTTCCCCTCCCCCGAGCTTGTGCTTTGAATTTTCTTTAAAACTTTTTGGAGGAAGTTATAATTCTTTTTCTTTTAATAGTATCACTTTTCTCTTTTTATAAATAATAATGAAAAGATCACGACATTTGGACGAAAATTAAATTCCTACCCAAAGGGTTGTCGCCTTTGAATAGGACCGGCGATTTTCGGCACAATCCGTGTCCACGATACGCAGTTAAACGCGTTCGGGATAAGCTTAATCGTAATCGCGACACGAGTTATGCACATGTGATTTGAACGTTGACCATTTCAGTTCGTTTATGATATATTAAGACACATTTAGTTCGACAATTAATATATGTATTATTTATACCGATACATTTAGATGAAAGATTCTAATACTTCATTCCCCCAAAAAAATGGATTGTTTTTTCCATGCCGCAAGAGTTGCCGAGAGTAAAAAGCTGTTATTAAGATAAATTATTGGCGGTCTAATTTCTTGACAACTTGTTTCTGATTGACCAACACTTTTTTGTAATACCATTTTTTTTTACAGTTTGCAAGTTATTAATAATTTTTGTCTTCTATTGACTTTTGTTTGCCTTTCTTACTCGCATTAAATTTATAAAACTCTTATATGAATCTACCAATCTCTATTTCAGTGACTCACTGAGTTTTTTCCTACTAAATTACTGGCTAGTTTTGGTCTACGTACTATCTTTTGGCTTACTTATCAACGTTTACTTCGTTTTCTTAAAATCTTAAACTTTTATTATCGTTTACAAACTTTAGTTTATCTTTCTTATAAACTCCTTAAATTTAATCAACTCTTATATGAAGATATTAACTTTTATTTGTATGACTTACCGGCTTTTCTTTCATTGGGTTGTCCATCAGTTTTAATTTACCAGCTCTTTTTTTAAGTTGCTTACCACGTTTATTTCATTTTGTGTTAATTTATCAATTTCTTATCAAGTTACCGACTTTAACTTATCTTACTTATAAAACCGTGAAATTAACCGACCTTAAATAAATGTACGATATACACCATGTATATGGTATGGCAAGCCAAATAAAGTCTTGATTTTTCTTTTCAAACTCCGAAAACGTAACGGGTTCTTTTCGCAATACGGAATCATTTCACTAAAACGTGATTGACTCGCTTCTTTACTGCATAAGTATAAAGATCGGCAAAAGTAATCACGGCATGAAATGTCTTTTTCCTATTCTCAAAATATGATTGGACTTGAATTCTTATATGACCAAATAATATCATACCATACAAAAAGACTTCTTCCACACTGTTCTTTTTCTTTCAATCCCTCTTGGAGCTTCAACGATGTAAATGGTACTGCGCAAGAAACGTGACATCTCATCCTACCCCAACCCAACCCCACCATCATTTTCCACAATTATTGCATATCGCTTGCATAGTAATAATGCCTCGTAGACTCACTGTTGTGTCCTAATCCACGGAAAATTTCAGTCATAGGGGCAGGCGCGCGCGATTACAGGCCACGAGGTTTCACAAATTCATCTCCTCTCTCTCTTCACTCTCTGTCTCTCTTTGTGCATAACATCAGCTTCTCTTGTTGTTTTCTTGCTTGCTGCGGTCTTATCTCTCAGCCCTTTTGCTTTGGTGTCCTGTCAAGAAAATGTCCATATGAAAAGATCGGTGTGTTTTCTTGATCGCCTCCCTCAATTTGTTTGTACTTGACAGTCGTTTTTAGTTTGATGTTTTTCCCCTTGCAATGTCGGTTACTGACTGCATTCGATGGCACACTGGTCTTTATTATTAAGGAGTTTCCTCTGCATAATAAATTCTGGGTCAAAACAAGGGACCGCCATTTCTTGCCACTGTATCTCACTCGCTTCCATCATTGTTACAACACGACATTAGTCTCTATATCTCCGTGTGTCTCTCTCTCTCCAGCTCAAAAGCAAGTGAAAATATAAAGAAAGGCCTCTGCTCTTAAATGAGCAGTTGGATATTTCCTTGTATAAAGCAACACGGCTTCACTCTCTCATGTATGTATACTTTGTTTCAGAGTGAGAATCACAGTGTTCCGACCAAAAAAGATGAAGCGTTTGGGCTCTGTGATGTTCATGGCATTGGTGTTTATGAACTGGGCAAATGGGTATGAGGACTTGAACATGACAGAGCTGCTCTACAGCTACAGGGACGCCGAATATGGCATCAGTGGGAGGCCATTGATGGTCGGTCTTACTCTTATTTATGGTGCTGCTGCCAAAGGTGCAGGTAGGGAGAGTTCTTGCTTTGATTTTTTCCTTTTGAAGTTTTGAATTTCAAATACTTGTTTCTTTTTATATTGTTCAAAGAATTCAAAAAAAATGCAGGTAAAGCAAAAACCCCTCTTTCCCATCTCAAAGGTTCCCTCTGCTAATTTTTGGTTTGTGTCTCTGTTTAGGTGCTTTAAGCTTGGGAAGTATGTTTGCAAGTTTCTTGCTTTTCTTGTTTAGAGAGAAAAAAATGCATGCGATTGGAATTGCTGATGCTTTTGTTGCCTGTGAAAGAAACTAGCTTAGGATTAGTTCATGATTAGATTGAATTTTACATGATTCTGCATTATTGACGCATAGTTGAATTTACATGAATTTAAACATGGATTATGCAGTCTGCCTTGATGGGAGTTTACCAGGTTATCACCTCCACCAAGGATACGGATCGGGCGCTAATAGTTGGCTCATTCAGTTGGAGGTATGTCATTATCCCTCCACAGAGCAGTAATGGGTTAGCTCTTGCTTTTCCCCCACATGATCACAATTGTGGTTTGTCCATTCAGCAACTTCTTGATACGGATCGATATCGTCCTTTTGCGTTAATTTGGGCGGCAAGTTTTGTTTCTTCATTTTATTGGTCTGCATGTTATTACTTACCTAGATTTGTTCTGCTTTACCTGTTGGTCTTATAGTTGAAGACAAGGTTGGCGGTGTGTTGACATTGTTGAGTGTCGTTTGATGGTCGAATCATGAAATTTGAGTTGGAAATGTATTAGTTGGCGTAGTGGATATTTTGGTGCTTCTTCTGCACTAGATTTGAAGTGTTTTATTAGTGTTAGGCTTAATAATTCGGCCAATTGCCTGAGCATTCGACAGATTTACGCATATGGGCATATGAACATCGGTTCACAAGCGAAGACATTGATGTGAATTTTTCCCAATTTAGAGCCTCTGTGATACCAATTTTAATTCTTACTCGAACTTGGGCATTCTCTTATGTGGACGACAGGGAGGAGGATGGTGCGATACAATCAGAAACTGTGTATACCGTAAGAAGACGCGGCGTGGTTCGTCCACATACATGGAGCGGCAGATTCCCTTTACCGGGATATTGAGCAACAAAGCTGCCGAAAATCCTGGTTATTTCTGAATACCATCTTTAGTTTGTCAACATCCCAACTCTTTTTTAAGTGTTCTGTATGTCTCTTTCTTCTCTTGTCACATGAGTTACTTATTAGCAATTCTGGATTCAAATATAACCCTTGCAGATTTTTTCAATTGGAACAGAGTCAAAATCCGTTACTGCGACGGAGCATCTTTTAGTGGGGACAGTCAAAATCAGGTCAGTACAAATGTTTGAGCATGCAAATCTTTAGATTTAGCTTCAGCACAGAGAATTCGAAGAATTGCTGACGATATGGCTTTTGACTATGAATTTCGAGAATGTCCTTTTGCTTTTTCTAAGAACATAAATTTTGAAAAACAAAAAAACAGAATTTACAGTTGTGTGCACTGCTGCTAAGTCGTATTCTGCTTTTGAATGGTTTTTTCCACAATGTTAAAGCAAACACTGCAAACAATTTGACATCCAAAGTAAACTATATGCAAATGTGTTTGTAAATGGACAAACTTGTAAATATAGGCATACAAGGATCTCAATTTTACATCTTTTGCTAAGTTCTTTTGTTTCCTATTTTGTGTGTGCTTACGGGGTGTACTGAGAACTAAATACTATTTGCTGCCTAGAAGCTCTATTTAAGCCCTTACCAACTTAGCAAAATTTGATATTTGTGTCTGCTTTCTATTTCAAGCTGTTATTGCCTGTTCTTTTGTGTCCTCATTTGGCCTGAAGTTTCACAGGCTTAACTTCTCTGCTGCATAAACTCTTATTGAACTTTGCTCCTTTGAATAGACTATTGAGGGAATCAAATTCGTTTTCTCATACGTAATGTCTCTTTGGATTTCTTAGACACATCATCATTTACACTTATCGATAATATCATACCAGTGGCTCAATGAGAAATTTCTTCCATGTGTTTGTGGTCTCAGGCAGCACAATTATATTTTCGAGGACAACGCATTTGGTCAGCTGCAATGGAAGAGTTAATGTCGAAGGGAATGCGCTACGCTAATCAGGTTCTCATGAAGCATCTCGATAAGTCATCTCTCCTTCTTTCCTGCACATATTCTGAAGCCTTTTCCTTCAGCTTTTCTGTTCTTCTTCCTCCTATTTATTTATTTTTGTGTGTATTCTAGGCTCTTCTTTCCGGGTGCAGTGCGGGTGGGGTGGCTTCTATAATGCACTGCGATGAGTTCCGGAATCTTTTCTCCGGTTACACAAGAGTCAAGTGCCTGAGTGACGGTGGAATGTTCCTCGACGCGTAAATACAGTCTCCGGCTTTTTTGTCGTCTCTACACTCGTAGATCTTTACTTTGCTACCGAATACGCTTGCACTGATTTTGTCGCAAATTTCAGGATGGATGTGTCGGGGAGGCGCACTTTAAGAAGATTGTTCAGAGGAGTGGTTAGCCTACAGGTGCCCTTTCTGGGGTTCTTTTCATCATTGCATAAGATAGCTTTCCACTTTGAAGAGGGTCCTAACCATTCATTATGTCTCATGAACAAAGCATCTCCTTTTGCTGGTAAAATAGAGTTATGCTCATGGACCGCTAACTTATAAAGCAAGAGAGATGATTGTTGTCTCTGCTAAATAAATAGAAAACAGAGGTTGTTGAAAAAGGGGGTGTGACTGTTACCTTTTCCTGGAATTTCGGAACACGTCGAACTGTCGGATGGCTGTGATTCGTATTCATACATAGCCCTGTGTTTTATTTCAAAATGCATTTTTGTACTGCTCATTCTATTGGATTGTACTTAGTATCGGGCGACACCATACTCAGGAAACAGCGCATTTTTCTGTGTTTTTACAGGGAGTCCAAAAGAACCTTCCAGGGAGCTGTACCAATCATCTGAATCCCACCTTAGTAATTTTCCTTCTCTAGTTTTATCACACATGTTGGTTCGACAATTGATATTGTGATGCAGTTGTTCTTACACTTCCCTCCTTTTCCAGTGCTTCTTTCCACAGCATCTGATTGGCGCTGTCGAGACTCCATTGTTTCTTGTAAATGCAGCTTACGATACTTGGCAGGTATGTCCCATTTTAAAACAAGTTCTCCGACTCAACCGGACCTTTCTATTTGTATTTGTTCTCTCTTGTTTAATATGCACTCCGATGCGCGTCTACTCACGGATGATTGAGGACTAATTTATTGGGTTACTATAGTTTTCTGCTTCTGTTATGGGCATTAAGTCCGAATCACAAACTGTCGTTTCTCAAATGATTTTCATCGGTTTAATCAGGTCTTGGCCAGTCTAGCTCCTCCGTCGGCTGATCCTCGCGGCTACTGGAGCCAATGCAGAAAGAACCACGCCTATTGTACCGCCCCACAGATCAATTTTCTGCAAGGTCTGCTCGAATAATGTCATCGCCGTCTTCACATTTGTCTCTTTTTTTTACCTCTTCATATGATGTCGGAAAAATGAATGCTCTCTAGTATGTATCATTTCAGCCGGCTTCAATCGCTTGAAGTACAATAACGTGAGCTCTGTTGCATGATTTATCCGACAAAGCAGATTTTCGGTATCAAATGCTGAGAGCCCTTACCAGCTTCTCGAGGTCCAGCAAAAACGGACTCTTCATAAATTCTTGCTTCTCTCATTGCCAGACCGAGAGGCAGGACACGTGGTTCGCCCCGCAGTCGCCGCACATCGGAAACAAGGTACGTATAACTTCAACTCGCGATGCGATCGCTTTTTATTCAATTTGCAGCATGTACGTAGAACAAGATCACACAACCTGCACACCGGTATCCCATTCTTGCCTCTTAGTATTAGATTCTTAACCGCATTGTTCCATGCGTCGGGCGTTTCGCGGTAGCAGGGCATTGCTCAGTCGGTCGGGAACTGGTATTTCAATCGAGGCGGCGCCAAGGCCATCGACTGTCCATACCCTTGCGACAATAGCTGCCACAATCTGGTGTTCCGCTGATCGAGTCGCCGTCTGCCAGCCCTTCGACGTGTCGTAACTCTCGATTTATTATTCCGGGGAAACAACCGTACATTGCGGAAAGAGAATAAGAGAGCTTGCTAAAGAGCAGGTTCAGCGATCAGCAGCGAGCTGATGCCATTGATTTGAACACCTCGTATGATGAACACTTAAGATTTGTAGCAATGTTGATCTCTCGGTTTAGAACTGAACGATGCTTGTACCTTTAAAAAGTGTCCGTGCATTTATTTCATTTATTTCGAAAAAAATGAATGATTTGAAAAATATTTTTTAAAAAACTAATAATCCCCTGTCCGCAGCAACCACCATGATAGAAAAATTAGCTGATCGAGATCTAGATCTCATCTCCGAGATGGCCGCCGTGACGGTGGTCTCAAATCCGGCACGACCACCGCGGAGGTCGGTGGTTGCGACCGAGGGAGCAGGCGGTTTGTTTCTTCGGGGGCAAGGTGAATGTGCAGAGAGAATTTAGAAAAAAGAAAATGTAAAAGATATTAAGAAAGTGCAAATAAAATCCACAAAAAATCAGAATAGCTTTTTCGTTTAAAAGAATAGTAAGCCAACAATTTTTTAATGCGTTTAAGTCCATGGTAGTAAATAGTAACTAGTAAAATCGGTCATTAGAACAGTGCAAAAAATGAGCAGCGGCAATTTTTCGAAAAATAGAGGATTCGTTTTTGGAAAAAGACATAAAAATAAAGGGGCGATTTTTGAATTTCGGAGAAAAGAAAATTAGCACGTGCCTTTTTCATCTTTCATCTTTCTCCGTCTGAAATAGGGAGTGCATCGGTCCTGATCAAACCCGGTATTGAATCGGCCATTCTCTGAGTGTTTCTCGGGAGATCGGTTCGCTTCCCGATTTCATGTAAGGAATCGGACAGGGGGCGGTTTTTAAATTTCGGAGAAAGGCGAATTAGCCGGCGGTGCCTTTTCATCTATCAATCTTTCTCCTTCTTGGGTAAATGGCCATGTTCTTCCCCCTAATTGTAGTTCCGGTCCCTCTCCAAAGTAGGGAGTGCATTAGTCCCGATCTCATGCGACATTGAATCAGCCGTCTTTGAGTGGTTATCGGGAAATCGGTCTGGTTCCCGATTTCACATAACAAATCGGATCAATCGACCAATTAAGATTCTTTCAAATTTTTTAGAAAAAATTTCAAATAAGAGTATGAAGTGCTTTTATTTTCTCAAAATAAGGGCCTGAAGACTAAAGTGGAACTTATTTCAAATAAGGACATAAAGTGCTCTTATTTTCTTAAATAAGAGCTTGGAGTGGTTATAATAGTTTCAAATAAAGGCCCAACCCCATCGGCCGGCCAATTTGGGGCATAAATTGAAGCAAAATTAAATTAAAAATTTTAAAAAAGAAGAAGAAATATATGAGTGAGGGCTGCCAACCCTCCTGCTTGTAGCCGCCGCCCCATCACCGGTGAGACGGTAGTGATGGCTGGCGAGGTCGCCGACGCCTCAACAAGGGGCCATCTGGACGGTAGTGCCGCCCTCTCCCGGTTCTAGCTGCTGGCCCTCGACTCTAGTCGTCGAGGGTTGCCGGCCATCACTGTTGCCCCACCGCTGATGAAAATGCCCTTGACCTTGGTAGGGTCATGCCCTTTTTTTGAGACGACATGGTCACTTAATACCTTTATTTAAGAAAATGAGAACACTTTTGAGTCTTTATTTAAAATTATCTTTTTTATATTATTTTAAAGCAAACTCTAATTAAAATCGAAAAAATCACCGATTCCGAGACCGATCCTAAAACCGAGCCGAATCGGACCCGGTTCATACCGACCCATCCTCGAACCGATGACCCCCATACTCTACTATGAAGTCCCCAACTTCAAACATGTAACGACGAGCTCTGCCGAGATCCAACTCCATCTCCGTCTTTCCCCATCTCTCCCTCTCTCTCTCTCGCCGCCGGCGACGACGACGACGACGACGATGGCGTCGCCGCTGTCCCTCGCCCCGATCGAGGATCCCCCGCCGCCGCCGCCGCCGGCGGAGGACGGCCTCCTCTCCTCCTCCTCCGTCCACTTCGGCGGCCCCGATGCCGTCGCCCACGTCCGCGCGCTCACCGACGTCGGCGCCATGACCCGCCTCCTCCACGAGTGCATCGCCTACCAGCGCGCCCTCGACCTCGACCTCGACTCCCTCCTCTCCCGCCGCGCCGACCTCGACCGCCACCTCCTCCACCTCCAGCGCTCCTCCGCCGTCCTCGACCTGGTCCGCTCCGACTCCGACCACATGCTCTCCAACGTCCGCTCCACCTCCCTCCTCGCCGACCAGGTCAGCGGCAAGGTCCGCGAGCTCGACCTCGCCCAGTCCCGCGTCAACTCCACCCTCCTCCACCTCGACGCCATCGTCGAGCGGAACGACTGCATCGAGGGGGCCGGCAAGGCGCTCGGCCACGAGGACTACGAGTTCGCCGCCACGTGCGTCGAGAGGTTCCTGCAGATCGACGCCAAGTACGGGCGGGATCCGCGCGGGTGGGACCAGATGATGGCCTCGAAGAAGCAGCTCGAGGGGATCGTGAGGAAGCGGCTGGCTGCCGCCGTGGATCAGCGGGATCACGCCACGGTTCTCCGCTTCATCCGGCTGTATTGCCCGCTGGGGCTGGAGGACGAAGGGCTTCAGGCGTACGTTGGCTATCTGAAGAAGGTGATTGGGATGCGATCGAGGATCGAGTTCGAGCAGTTGGTGGAATTGATGCAGGATCAGCACAACAATCAGGTTAACTTTGTCGGGTGTTTGACCAATTTGTTTAAGGATATCGTATTGGCAATCGAGGAGAACAATGATATTTTGAAGAGTCTTTGCGGAGAGGATGGTATTGTGTACGCGATCTGCGAGCTCCAAGAGGAGTGTGATTCGCGGGGTTCGATGATTTTGAAGAAGTATATGGAATATAGGAAATTGGGGAAGATATCTTCCGAGATCAATGCGCAAAACTCGAACTTGCTTGCTGTCGGAGCTCCTCAAGGGCCAGATCCCAGAGAGATTGAGTTGTATTTGGAGGAGATATTGTCCCTTATGCAATTGGGCGAGGATTACACTGAATTTATGCTTTCCAAGATCAAGGGGTTGACTTCAGTTGATCCCGACTTGCTGCCGCGAGCAACCAAGGCATTTAGGAGCGGGAGCTTTAGTAAAGTCGTGCAAGAAATCACTGGGTATTATGTGATTCTAGAGGGCTTCTTTATGGTGGAGAATGCGAGGAAGGCAATCAGGATAGATGAGCATGTTCCCGATAGCCTTACCTCTTCTATGGTCGACGATGTGTTCTATGTTCTTCAGAGCTGCTTGAGAAGAGCCATTTCAACTTCGAATATCAGCTCTGTTGTGGCAGTTTTGAGTGGCGCCTCTAGTTTGTTGAGCAATGAGTACCATGAAGCTTTGCAACTGAGGATGAGAGAGCCCAACCTTGGTGCTAAGCTTTTCCTGGGTGGTGTTGGCGTGCAGAAAACTGGTACCGAAATAGCAACGGCCTTGAATAATATGGATGTAAGCAGCGAATACGTTGTCAAGCTCAAGCATGAGATTGAAGAGCAATGTGCACAGGTAATTATGTCTCCACTTATGGTTTACTAATGATATTTTCTGATGAAAATTGACCAACATAATTAGTTCTGTCTTCAAGTGATAATAAAAGAGTGACATCTGGAATGTTCATCACATGTAGAAAGACAGACATTGAAACAAATATGACTTTTGTCCCGTAGTAGTTGTTTAAGGTACTGGTGTGTTCTAAATGTCGACTTGCTTCTTTGTACATTAGTATGATGCTTTTGTCTACCCTGGATTTGTCTCTCTAGTTGCTTGAGGGGGCTGAGAAGCTCGGCATCTTGCCCTTCGCCGGTGCATGAAAGTTTAATGTTCGAGGGAGTGGTTAATATTCTACGTTAGTTCTTTAAGTCCTATATTTTGCTTTATTTATGGTCATTTCTTAAATGACATTTTTGACATCTTATACAATTAGGATTAAACTGTCAAGGACTTTGTTAAGATCTAAAAGAATCTTTTTTGAAATGGTTAAATGTTGAGTTCAAATATAGCCTTTACAAAATTTTATGGTCATGGATTGTGATGGAAGTTGTTGTAGTTCCGCTTCTTGAGGTTTCAGATGAGATGGACCAGCTCTGGAACGTATATTATGTTTGTATAGGGACACATCGTGTGGTCTTAAAGAAGAGTTATATCTTTTTTCATAATTCTAGAAATCCTCATGTTGCTCATTTGAGATAATTTAGTCAGTACAAATGTGGATACAACTTACCTTTTTGTGTTAAAATTGATCAAATAGATGCTGAGATAGACTACACATGTAGTAGTTACTTAGTTAGTCAAATGGTGTATTTAGATGTCTACTGCTACCACATCCTATCATTTTAAAAGGCTTGTATGATGATTGATAAAACTTGAACTCCTAATTCGGCCCTGACCTGAAGAAATTTTTTTGATGATTGCACATACCATAGTCATGGTGCTTTTGTGAGAAGTTTAGATGTTGCTATTGCTGCGAGTTAGAGATGCAGGAAAGCATGAAGTTCAATGCACAACTGCTGTCATGATGTCAGTATTTCGCTCAAGAGAGTTTTTAGTGGAGAACTAGATAGTGATATACGAGGTTTCTGCAACTAGTTCGGGCCAGCTGGTTCAGTTGGTTGGGTCATGGACCAGGTGTTAGACTGGTCTGGTTAGCGTAGTGGTCCTAGTGGAGTATGGAGGCAGCTTTGCTGAAGTACTGGATTGAACTCGTTTGACCTGCAGTTCAACTGTTGAAGCAGACTTTATAGTCTTTAGACCTGCATCAACCTGTTGTGGTTGGACTGATTGGTGAAAGTTGTGTGTTTAATAAGCTGCCATATGGTATTGAAGCTGTGGACAAGGCTTGGAGAAGTCGTTTGAGCTGCTAAAGAGACCAGGCCATTTGGAAGCAGCTTGTAATTAAAGCAAGTGAGCAAGTGGCATAGACTAACACGGGCAAATATTGTGGGGGTGATGCTTCTCGTACCGGAAGGTGTAACAACATTGATATTAATGTATTTGCAGAGATTATATATCATAGTAACAAATGCTTCATAAAATCACCAGTTGACCTGGTGATCCAATCTGCCCTACCGTTTGAGCTTTCATCGGCTGCCTGACAGTGTCTTTCACCCATCCACTTTTAAGAGCACTGGTGATATGTAGAGCTGTAGTTTGGTAGCTCGGTTTTTCAGGCACTTTGGAAGTATTGTGTATGTCTTACCGATTGATTTGTTTAAGTCATTATTAGGACTGCCGTATCTTTCTATATTTTGCCGCATTCATGGATTGGACTATTTTTTCCTATTAATTCCTACTTAAGTAAACTGAATGGAGAGTTTCCTGAATATACGGCTTTGAAAATTTGTTTTTCTTGTCCTTCTGCTGGGTGTTTCCTTTCGTTGCTTCAAATTAGCTCTTTTCTCCCCATTTATGTACTACTGGCTTGAAGTTGCTGACAGAACCTCTCCCTTTCGATGTGTAATTTTAGTGCACTCTATTCGTATTATTTGTTTTGTTAAGGTCCTTGTGGCTTTATTGTAAAATAAATTGACTGTTGCTATTGCTGATTTCTTGGAATTCTGATTGTGGTTGTTGCATGGAGCTGTTGTAGTTAGCTTGAACAGTATGGTCAGCTGTCATAATGGATAAAAGATATTGCTATATGCATGTAAATAGTTGTCCAAGCTTTCGTGTTTTTTTAGTTTGATTGACTGAGCAGCACTGTCGGACTTTTTAAGCTTATTGTTTAGGTAGTTACGCTATACTTTCAAATTTGCACTCTTAACTTTTTGAATTGGTCGAACTCCCAATTTTATTGAATGCCTGGAAACATTAACTTGCTTTGAACCCAGTTTAAGAACTTTAGATTTGACTTTTGAATCATCATAACATGTGTAGCATCATATTATGTTTTTCTTTGCACTTCTGCACCCCTGACCGGCTTCATGGTTCTTGAGGTTGACTGGTATCTCGGTTTCATGGTTCCTGAAATGATAATAGTTGAATTATCTTGTGACAGGTATTTGCTGCCCCGGCCGACAGAGAAAGAGTGAAATCTTGTTTATCTGAGCTTGGAGAGATGAGCAATGCTTTCAAGCAAGCTTTGAATGGTGGGATGGAGCAGTTGGTAGCTACTGTGACACCGCGGATCCGTCCAGTGCTAGATAGTGTGGCGACTGTCAGTTACGAGTTGTCAGAGGCTGAATATGCCGATAATGAGATAAATGATCCCTGGGTGCAGAGGCTGCTGCACGCCGTAGAGACCAACGTCGCATGGCTCCAGCCATTGATGACTGCCAACAACTACGACTCGTTTGTGCATTTTGTTATTGACTTCATCGTGAAGAGACTCGAAGTGATCATGATGCAGAAGAGATTCAGTCAGCTTGGAGGTCTTCAGCTTGACAGAGATGCAAGGGCACTCGTGAGTCATTTCTCGAGCATGACCCAGAGAACCGTCAGAGATAAGTTTGCGCGTCTCACTCAGATGGCTACGATCCTTAATCTGGAGAAGGTTTCCGAGATTCTAGATTTCTGGGGTGAGAATTCGGGACCAATGACTTGGAGATTAACCCCAGCTGAGGTGAGGCGAGTATTAGGTCTGAGGGTGGACTTCAAACCAGAGGCAATAGCTGCTCTGAAGCTGTAACGCTTATCGGATGATCCCGACACAGTTCAGTTGTAACACATCCATTTACTGTATTCAAATTAATTTTTTCTAGTACACTCCTCATCTGATTAAATGGCGATGGATTCACATTCACCTCCTAGCAATTGGAAGCTGAGATAATTGCTCTCACATTCACCTTCGTAGTGAAGTGACATGATATACTCTTAGACGATGCCTCCTCATCGAACCTACTTTAGCTCTGTTGATGTCAACCTCTGCAGGAATCAATACATCGTTTGGTTGTTGGGTAAATCTCAGCGAAGAACAAGCCGAGCAGTAGAATGAAACTATGGCCCGGTCACTTTCATCTGTAATGTGGTCCAAGTCTTGCATCAGTTCCAAATGGAACTTGCGATTTCTGGTGTTTTTTGGGAGAGGCTCATGGAAGACATTGATCCCATTTGTGGCCATTGAAACTGCCGTGGACCATGCCCTTCTTGCGGTGGTGGACGAAGTCAAAGGTAATATTCGAAATGCTTGTGGCAATCGACTTGTCTCAACAAACATTTAATGAACTTTAATTGAAGATTGATGCAATGCACCTTTCTCATGTATGAAGTTGGACTCTTATGAGATTAGAAGCCTATAAAGACACATACTTAGGAGTCCATTTGGTTGGTGGAGTTGTGGTCATAGTGTGACAATAAAATGATCCATCATTTGTGCTTTGTTATAAATATTATTTGACATATGATAAGAGTGGAAGGGAGAAAAGAAACAGGGATCGGGGTCTAATCGCTCCTACTGCACGGGACCGGGAAATCAAGTCTCGGGACAGCTAGTTATTAGAAACCGACAATGCTTCGTTGAACAAGTCAGCGACCAGTGGTTCCTGAGTACGTAGGCGGAGTTGTGGTCATAGCGTGACTATGAAATGATGTATCATGTGTATAATTTGACATATGATAAGAGTGTTAGGGAGAAGAGAAATAGGAATCGGGCTCCTCCTGCAAGCATTGTAATAGGCTGTAAACCTATGATAGACATGTAATGTGATAGCCTCTATTGTAACCAAATATATTGAAAAGTGTTCTCGTCTCCCAATTACAACCAATGTTTATTTCAATTGCTTGGTTGCAACTGGCAGGCAAAAAAAAAAAAAAACAGGAACTGATTGTAATTGGGAGACGACAACTTTCAGCTCGACGAGTTTCACACACACACACAAGTAGTTATGTCCAAGTATATTGAGTGAGAAAATCGCAAGTTAGATGAGTGTGATTCTTCAGTTTATTTTGAGTGAGAAATCCATTAGTTCACATCTGGGATATACCAATAAAAATTGTACGCATGTAGCGCCACCCTAATCTGCTGCCAGTAAAAAGCTGTCTGTGCTGTCTGTGTTAGTCGCGGTTCAAGTCCGTATGGTATCGAAACATGTCGTGTTAGTTCGAGGTATTGCAAGACTTATCTACCAGCAAGATAGCACATACAAAAATTCGAGGTGAGATTCATATGTAACACGTAACATAGATCAAGAAGTTAACTGCTCAACTCGATCCTTTACGGTCGATTAGAACTAACCTACACTAGAGTGACTTTCCTCAATAGTCACCTTGTTGTGATAATGATCGTGAACTGGATTTTAACTTGGTGAGTATTGAACCAGTCGTGCCCGGCGAATCTGGCAAAGTCGCATTCAAGAAAGTTTCTTTAATCGTCCTATGAATCGAGCGTGGCGGGCAAGGAGATTTTAAGACAATTGTCTAGTCATTCTACATGTTTTTGTATGGAAGTCAACCGTGCCTCACGTCCTATCCACATCAATTCTCTCTCGTCATTTTCAAATTTCATGTTTGCCAATGGAAACAAAAAAAAAACATATTAAAGATTCACGACCCAATAATGCTGTTCACATGCACAACACCATCTATCTACATATAAAAGTAGAGTTCTTGGAAGGTACACGTTTCATGATTTAGGAGAATTGAAATTTATCTAAGTTCTAAGAAAAATTATTCATATGTTATTCATATAGGTTTGGTTTATTCGACAAACCAAAAAAAGACCACGCGTGATTATGGACTTGCCATCACTCGCGAAATTGGTCGTAATGATGCAAATGATTCCCGGTTCAATCGTCGATGGCCCCCCATTTATCGAATCAGAGAAGTGGTGAGTTAGTCCGGCACGTGAAAATCGGAAAAAGCTTGTCGGACCATGAAAGTCAACATCCAATTATTACAAGCTTATGTTGTTTTAACCGGTTCACGGGATTTATGTCGCCCAAAAGAACATACCCACCACATATTTGCAATAAAATCTTGAAAGTGTCACGTTTAGTGCACAAAGAATGAACCAAACAATTGCTACGATAGAAAGAGCCAAGAGGACAGATTAGACTCACCCTTTGCTTTTAGTTGGATCTTTCTTGGTGGATTCTTCTTGCTCTTGAGTTCTCCCCCCCAACCAATTTTCACCACCATGAAGATAATGTTACCAACACATGGGAAACTGAAAGGATATGGAATGGACGGCTGTTGATGGATGAAATGTCACCATACAAGTAACAGAAAATGGAAAGAAATCTTTTGTTAGTAAATAGAAAGATAAGAACATATAGAAAAGGGGGTCATTACATGGAGGAAAAATAGAAAGCATCCACTGTCAGCATGTCCGTTTATAAATGAAATGACATAAAAAAAAAAAGGATTGAGGTAGATATCATGATGGGTACATATGTCAGAAGAAATTGCACAAGCAAAATGTTCACGAGGCGAGAAATTTTTTAGTGACCGGATTAATATCACGAAAAATCTCAAACTGATATACTTATGATAAATTAATTCAAAATTAATTTTTTGACAATCAAAAATCCCAAATCGGTACATCTGTAACAAATTTATGATCCGTTAGTTTCTGTTAAATTTTACCGTCAAATTGTTAAGTTGGAAGACACGTGACAATTGATGGGTGTACCAGTTTGGGGTTTTACCCTCTGTTTATCACTGGTGTACCAGTTTGTGGTTTTTTGTGGTATTAATCCAATTTAACGAAAATTAGCCGAGATTAAATTTGTCACATGTATACCGATTTTAGATTTTTAGTGATCAAAAAATTTGTCACATGTTAATTAGTTTGGAATTTCTCGTGATTTTAATCCTTTGTGGCAATACATTGTGTTATATATTCACGCGGTGAGAATTTTTTTTTAGTGACAATATCCATAAAACAGTAAAGCAACGCCCCCCTTTTGACATGATATACCCTTTCATAACCTCCATGGTTGCATGAAAATGAAACATGAAGATGAACAAGGCCCGCGTCTTTGCACGAAAAACAGTTCGGTTTCGACTTAGTCGCGTTAGATTGGGGTCGTGTTCAAATCGTGCTTTCGTATTGCATCAGAGATTGCTGCTCCTGAGGAATGGTCAGCCAACGAAGCCTCTTATTTCACATTTGTCACCCCAAATTAAAAATCTGTCAAGCTACATTGACTACGCAAGTTAATTACAAATCTAGTAATTCCCAAAGGCTGCAGCTAATCTCCTGATACCCTTGCAGTAAATATCTGAACCCCGTGAGGGCAGTTCTTGCTGCTGGTTATTCCCTTCAGCACAGGACAACTCTGAGATGAATCTTGCCTCTGACACAACCCCATTTGGTGGAGCCTGCTTTTCTTGACCCTGCACTGCGTTGGCAATCAGGAATGGCATGTTCAGATAGTCTGACCATTTCAAGTCCTCTGATTCGTTGCCACTGAAATTGGGTTGGTGGGTTTGCTCTTCTTCTTTCTCAGCATGCAAGTCCCAAGGGAAAGGGTTGCTCTGCAGTTCACTGTTTCTGATCTTCCCATTGGAGAAGAGGCTGAAATGGGGCTTCAAGCTCTCTTGGGGTTGTGCAGTCAATGAGCTAAAACCGTGAGACTCTGGTAAAATGGCAGGTGCTGAAGTGGAGTGGAAGGTGGACTTCGAATCAGAAAGCATGAGGTTGTGGGTCAGATATGGATCAAATGAATGTTCAGCACCTGAACCATAGTTTAGTTGCTGGAAAGGGAAAATATGGGTCGGTTCGACTGGGATCTTCTTGCCGAGGTCCGCGAACTTTTCTGCAAACAATTTTCTTGCAGGTGCGGGGTTGATCGACTTACCGGCGTACGGGTGGTGAATTTTCAAGCTTAAAGAACCAGTGAGTGAATATGGCTCCGCATTTGGTGAAATTGGCTTTCTTTCCACTGACTTGTGAGTGTCGACTTTGAGATAGTGCACAGAACTAAACCCTCCTGAGGTTCCGTCGCCGAAATTTTCTGCTTTCGGCGTCTTCTCGCCTTCTCTTCCGTTCTTAACCTCCGAAAGCGGCTTGTGAGTGTTGGGGTCAATGCCTTTGTGAATGAGCTTCTTCTTGATGCTGGAGTTCCACAGGTTCTTTATCTCATTGTCTGTTCTTCCTGGTAAGCGTGATGCAATTTGAGACCACCTGATAAAAAGAGAAAAGTTGAATATTTTTCAAGACCATCTCATGGAATTACAGGGTTCAAGAACCTATTAAAGTAAAAAATTCTTTTCCCCCCTTCTAAATACCTGTTTCCAAGAACAGCATGTAGCTCAATTATCAAGTCCTCCTCTTGTTGTGAGAATGTACCTCTCTTCAAGTCAGGCCTCAAGTAATTGATCCACCTCAATCTACAACTCTTCCCACACCTCTGCAATCCTGAAGGTGAAAGTGGGTTCTCATCAAATTGAAGGAACAAAGAAATCAAACCTAAGAATATGGCAAAGAATAAAAAGAGAAGAAATTTTGGCTAATTACCAGCTAGTTTAGGCACAGAGCTCCAGCAACCATGCCCGTACTTGGTGATATGTCTAACAAGCTTCTCATCTTCTTCTGGAGACCACAAGCCTTTCCTTAGCTTCTGCTTGTAACAGCAAGAGTGCCTCCCCATTTGAGGCAAATTGGTAGCTGCAAAAATAAAAAGAAGATAATACCAACAAACTGCTTAAAGGGACTTGTCAGAAGCAATCAGACCCTTTTTTGTTTGGGAACTGCTATGTTCTTTTGGGGAACGGGATGATTGCTGAATTGGAAAGGAAGGAAACGTTAAAAAGGAAAAAGTAACAGCAACAGTGATGGTGGTGTTCAATCATACACGAGAGAAGTGAGAGGTCATGGTCACGAGGGTGATGGGCTACACAAGGGCAATCCAATTTAAATAGCGTCTCTCTCTTTTTCTGCTTTTTTAATTGGTGCCACAGTGAATCACTTCCAAATGTTAAATGGAAGGAAGTGATTTTGGTTATAAGTACCTGGGTTCTCAATTTCACGCCTTCCAACAACTCAGGGGAGGTAAAGAGCCATGCATCGCTCGGGAGCTGACGAATATCGAAGTCGCACGCCACATAGCTGACATAGTGTCACCGTCCAATCGCAATTCCTCGTCGGGGTGATAAAAGTCCTTTCTATGGCGCTTCACTTTCTCCGAGTTGTCATTTGGATTTCATTGAAAGCGAAGTTACACCAACAAAATTCACGTTCTTGGACTTCTTATCATGTGAAATTGTTTATTAAGTTAGTAGTAATAAGCAGGGAAGGAGAGGAGGCTTACGGAATCAGCAAGGAATATTTGGACTTCTTTTAAGGCTGCTCCAATTATTGGAAATGTCCACCAACTGCTGAGCTCAAAAGATTCCAAAGAGTTGCATATAATAGACAGATCAAATTGATGATGAGAAAGGATGAGTAAAATATCAATTCTAAACTGGATTCTTGTGGGAACGTTTGATGCTCTTGGAAACTCAACTGTTCCTTCTTCTGTTCTCAGCCCTTTCATCTTTGCTGTAGCCAGCTATGCATGATTACTCTTTATCATCTCTAGAAGCAGAAAGTGAGCTCTTGCTATTTCTGCTAAAGAAATAAAGACAAATTTGCTGTACCATCCTTGAGTTTTTTGCTGATTTACACAAATGGCCTTGTATGCTTTTTTAGAATGTGTTAGGTCAACAGAGTTTTCTAAGGCATTTGTTAGCTATACTTCTCAAATTTGTTGAGAGGTTCACTCCCAAGGGTTAGCATTTCACGGAAGTAGCATTAGAAGCGGAATGTAACAGCGAATGGTCTGTGATTGTCCACCATGGTGAAAGACCACAAATCTAGAGCCAGATAGGAGGTGATCTACCATGGACAACCTCGGACTCAGGGGAAATGACTTTCGATTAGAGGCCTTCGACCTTTGGTCTGGGGTTCAGAAGCTGCGGGGAGAGAGAGAGAGAGAGAGAGAGAGAGAGAGGAGCTGCAATAAGGAGGGAGGCTACTCTGGCGCTGGTGCTGGCGGTGGCTAGAGGAGGCTATGCCGGAGAGAAGGCTGGTTGTATTAGTTGTGCCTGCAATGGGCAGTGGGAAGAGGAAGAAGGAGAAAAAAGAAAGCAAAACACAAACCGAAACAAATAAGCCATAAGCCCCTTCAAATCACCAAAACCAAAACTATCAATTATGTGGACAGTCTAGTTTACCATCCTTAAGTATAGGAGATCCATAACTTATCAAAAATATACATGAAATGCCATAGTAATATATCAAAAAACCCAGTGCCCATCAAGCACTTGAAGTGCATGTCAATGATAATTTCCTATCACCTCATATCATATCAATGAAAATTCTTTTGGAGAGAGAGAGAGAGAGAGAGAGAGAGAGAGAGAGATGGAGAGGTCCAAGGTCTTAGTAAGGTGATTGTGAAATCTTTTAGCTGCAGTTCATCGCCGACGGAGATGAAAAGGTTAGACGTCCGTGTACGTGGGCACCCCAAGGCCCACAGATCCGACGGTAAAGAAAAAACTTAAAAACGATTGTGACAAAGGGGTGCTTTGTCTCGTCAAAACCCTTTGTTCTTTTCATGGGTAGATGCGAAGTGTTGTTACCAGCTCCTTCCCAACCTCAAAGGCGCCAAATGCTCTGTTTGTCAAGCATTGCCCTTGCACTTTAACGGAATCACACAATTTACTCAGAATTGCAGCCAACATGGTTCATACAAAACGCTTGGAAGTAGATTAAAACGGTATGCGTCTTCTGCTTGCGCCGTTGTAATGTTGTTCATTTTACGGTTTGGAAGATCTAACATGAGGTTAATTCAAGCTTCACTTCTATATCTAGACTAGAGCTGTAATAACTTCTGATCTGTTCTTGCGATTCCGGCTATAATACGACGGGTCAGAAACGGTTATCTCGAGCTTCTAATATAACCCAGATGAGAACACTATTGCTTTGACTCTGCACTCTCATCGACTTTAGGTCGGGTGTTCATGAGAACCTGGGATGGAAATAAAGAACGACGAAATCAATAACTCATGGGATGCTTTTGAAAGGGAACGGCAAGAAGTTCGCCGGCAAAACAGAAAGGATGGGGATGATCCGACCTTCCTTAGCATGGTGTTTTCGTTGATCAAAGTCGAGATCTTCTCCTCCAGCTTCGAGTTTTTGTCTTGCAACTCGCTGGCTCTCGATTCCAGGTCGTTGACATACACCTTCTTCCTCTCGCGCGCTTGCTGAGCAGAGACTCTATTCCTCAGTAACCTGCCGTGATTCAAAAAAAAAAAAACGAGTTTTTTGAGGCAACAAGCTCTTTTTTAAGGCTTAAATTCGACATGTATTATAACCAGCTCCCGGCAACCACAGTGAAATCAACTAGGAGAAGGGCAGAAACATGAACCACCACAAAAACATCGTCGGATGTGACCAGGATGGATACCTCATAATAAAAAACTAGCAGTTCGCCCTATTAATCTTCCAGAGCCCAAATAGCTCAATTATCCCCTAGGAACTATTTGTGTCAATGGATTCGTCTGATCCAAAACTTGAGATGACCAAAACTTGAGACAACGTGGGAAGTCCCAAGAAAGATTCATAAGTGATTGTTAATGGAGTTGAAGTTACCAAGTTTTGGGGAGTCGGTATCAATTTATGCCTAATTGCTCCACAGGTCATTTCTCCAACCACATTTAGCTAGACGAAGCAGAGCCAATCCGAATTGATCTTGTAAGAGATCTGCTACAAAACGGATACGTTTATTCTTTAAATGATTCATACCGTCAAGTGTACGAATTCTGAACAATTTCAACGAAATCTTGCAATTTCTTAGTTTATATGTTCAACTCTAATACTCTTATGTATTCCTCTATTCGTAGAGTACATTGAATGTACAGAAATGGCTATAGCATATACGTAGCGGTTTTCCAAGGAGCGACGACAAATAACAAAATCTTACCTTGGCAAGTCACATACTGTACACTTACAATAGCTCGTGCTTTTTTTCATTTTAAACATATTTTCACTTTGACTTTATTGACTCATTTCATATCATGGTTGAAGAGTTTAAATTAGATGATAGGGTTTATTATTCAAATTTTATTGCTTGTTATTTAAGAAATCTTTCAATACATATTTCTAAAGAAGATGGTGATTGATAGAGTGATCATCGATCATAATCTCCGTTATGAGTACTTTGTGAGATTACATTTAATGTTGAGATCGGACCTGCAGATTTACTTATGATTTGCTTCTCTATTAGCTCATTGCCAATCAGAATTAGCCTCCTAACTGGGATTATTTTCTTCGATCGGGCCTTCACAAGGCTAAGAAAACAAGATTAGGAACTTCGACAGTGAATCTGTAGCCACTTTGACAGGAAGCAAGATTAAGCTGATATATTGGAACCGTGTTTAAATGTACGACTACACATTCTGCAAGTTGCTACAAAGTCATAACCCAAAAGTTGGTGTCCCGTCCTCCATCTAAAGGGAAATATCAAATTCTGTACGTGTAGGTCGATTCAATCGATGCGTGGAAATAAGCAACTGAGGTTGCTTTGCCACTAGATTTCACTAGGGAATGACTCCGAGCAGATCACCGAGTTAAGCAAAACCGTGTTCATATTCAAACTCAACTGTGTAAAAGCCAGCAGAATCTATGATCCACGGAGGGCAAAAAGGGACATACCTCTTGAGCCTCTTATACTCCTTGTCGACAGGGTTCCGTCCCCTCCGTCGCTTCCCCGGAATCGCCGTCTTAGCCTGATCAGCTTCCTGCTGCTCACCGACATGGACACTGTCGTTCCCTGTAGAATTCACAGCCGGTCCAGCCTCCATGTCCGGAACCGTGAACAAGTCCTCGTCGTTTTCCTCTGAACCCAACAACCAAATCTCAAAAGAAGAAACGGAATTTTCTAGCACAAAAATGAAATTCCAGCATTGATCGAATGCGCACCACCATTGTCGATTAGGCATACATGTATTGGTCGAGCCACGATACATGTTAAGATTTCAAATACATACGGCACGCACTGCTCTCTCTAATACCCCAAATTAACGAAGCCAATTAGTTGTGCACTGTCCAACATGGCATCAGAACCAGTAGAGTTCATGCCCACTTCTTCGATTCACCTGATATCCCGATCTAATAGTTCGACGAGTTACAGAAATCGACACACGGCCATCGGATAATCTGTGCATTTCGGAGACCAACTATACTCCAAATTAGAACACTAATCTTCTCATAAATCAGCTGCTGCTGCAATTACATGAGTGATCTATTCTCTTCCATGCATATACACAGACCTGTGCTCTGATTATGAGTCAGTGAGAGACTATTCGGGTGCTCGGAAAGAGCTGAACACCTCCATTACCAAAAACATGCTAATACAAAATGAAAACCCGAATAATCTCATCGCCAAAAGGGTCCTAACCCAACACGTTCAGCCAAGAAACGCCAACAAGAGAAAGAGGAGAAAAAGATGGAAAACAAGAGATGCAATAATCACAGACCTCTCTTGTTCTTCTTCTTGTGGGCGCAAGAAGGAGAGGTGAGATCGTTCCCATCTTGCCTAGTCCTCCAAGAAGAAGAGGAAGACGATCCAGTTGGCTCCATTCCCACCTGGACCGAAGCTACGTCGACCTTGCTGCCATCTCCATGCCTTTGTGCAGACATTTTCCGCAAGCTCCGCCTCAGCGTTTGTCAACGATGCGACCTAAGCGCATTCGAAACTCCGCTGTTTGTTTAATTTTTCTTTCTTTTTGAGCACTTATTTCTTTCTGTGGAAGTGACTGTTCGAGTGCTTGTGGAATACGGAAGAGGGGAGAAAATAGGGGGAGAGAGTTTGGCTCAAGAACGAACACGTTGATGCATGGAGAGCCGCCACTTTTGTTTCAGCTTCTACTGCTCTTGTCACTTCCTTTCGGATTAATCCAGAATCCAAAGTCAGTCGTCCACTGTTTGTCCTTTCTTTTCATTTTCTTATCATTTGACTTTTGGGCTTGTGTTAAGGAAAACTCTAAATGGTTCACTGATGTTTCTTTGTTAAAAACCCGTTCAAGTTTCGTGACATTACTCTTGACTGTAAAAAATATATATTTTTATTTATCCTACCACTATCTCTCCTATTTTTTACCTGTTGAAATACGTAGGAGTCGAATTCCACACCTATGATATTAGTATCTTCATTTTCTAATCCTTTTACCAGTAGGGTCACATGCCTATCGACGTATGTCAAAGAGATTCGTTAGCTTGCTAGGAATGTTATGAAGATTCTTCATCTGATTATTCACCCACTATTATACTTGTGATTCTACACCCCCGGAATTTTGCTAGCTCCTGATGTAGAAATCAGATTCTCAATTTTTGAGGATTGGAGGGCACGTCATCTAGAAAATGTACCAATCTATTAAAGCAAATGACAGTGGTGGAGACATGACGAGCTATTCATATGAATAATTTAAATAATTTAGATGGGTCATGTTTGTTTCGCAAAAAATAAATAATTTGAAATTTTTTTAAAAAATTATTGTTTATATCGCTTACAAAAATGAATGCACTAGAAATATTTTCATCATCTACAAAGATATATAGACGTAAATTGTTATCGACAATGAAAATATTTTTCATTAACTAATTATTTCAGGTAATACAAGCGATTATTTTTAAAAAATATATTTTTCAAATTATTTATTTTAGGCAAAATAAACGTGATTAAACATGATTGGCTTCCTTACATACGTTAGGTCTATAGTGATTTATCAGCAACTTTTTTCTCTTTTCCTCCTTCACCACACGGCTAACGCTTCCCTACCTCTCAGGTCTCTCATTCCCACCAACTGCCCGCACTTTTACATACACCCTCAGAAGACCACCGTCCCACCCACCGTCACACCGGAAAGATCGCCGCCGCCGCCCATAAAGATCGTCGTGCCACCATGACACCGCTACCCACGAATTGCCGCCCCGCCATCTCCCACGAAGATCGCCATCGGTGAACATGAGCTCTCTCCTCTAGATTTTGCCCTCTCTCACTCTAGTGTCCAACTTCACAAGCAGCAGCGAGCCCGCCGTGTTTATTGTTTTATTTCAAATTGTAAAGTTTGCTTTCTAAAATTTATGTCTTTGAAATTAGAAAAACATAGGGCTAATTTAAAAAAAAAACACCAACTTTACCTTGAGTAACAATTTTGGTTCGAACTTTTTTTTTCTAAATAAAAATCACTAACTTTTACTTGAATCCCAAATCTTGCCTCCGTTAACCAAAGCTTGAGATCTTGTAGATTGTTACAAGCATTTTGGCAGGGCACAGCTTTAGAATTTCCTTCGCTATACTTCCCAACAAAATCCATTTAATAATGTCCATCACTAGAGCCTGATATATTAAATGAGATCAGTTGATTAATGTCCATTCGATGTAGACTTTGAAGTTTGTGGAGGAGGGGGCTTGGGCTTCTTGAAAAAAGGTTTTGATCGTGAGTTCAGCAGATCTCGTCTATGGCGTCTCTCGATGGGTGGTGGTCCACAACTTTTAATTACGACGAAATGGTGGAAGCTGGCCGGAAAGATTCAATCTGGACTTGCTGGTGAAGTGAAAGACACCATGAACAATTTCACCGTTATTTTTTAAGTTGTGGCTTAGATAGAAAGAAATTGAATAATGCTTTAAATTCAGCTAGCAAGCAACGTGGATTTATTACTGAGATCGAAACGTTAGACAATTAACAATTCCAAGTCAACAGGGTTAGATTTAAGATTTAAGTGAAAGTTGGTGATTTTTTTATAGACAAAAAAAAGTTCAGGCCATAATTATCACTCAAGCTAAAATTAGTGCTTTTTTTTTTTAAAAAATTGACAAAAAAGCATAATTAAAAACATACCTTCATTTAGATCCAATGTTCAGTTACGTATTTATATTTTTGATTAATACCATTAACATACCTTTAAACAACACCCCACATTAAATTGTCCCTCCTTACAAACCCAATTTACCATATTACTTAGGATTTGGCCGTTTGGTTTTTAGTGCTTTTAACGAGTGTGAGAATTTATGATTTGAGGATTAACATTTTGGAGAAAAATTGCATTTCCGTAAATAGGGAGACAAAGATATTTAATGTAAATGTGCAAAGTGGACTCTCAAGGTAATGTATGTTTTTGGTATTTGTCTAATTTAAAACTTTTTTTAATGTGTTTTGTATTCTTGTTACTATCGTGATTTTTATTAAAAAAAGAGTGAAAAAAATGAGAAATAAATTTCGGGCTTTGGCTCAGTTTGGCCCCGAAGTAGCCCGGTCCCGTTCGATCCTAACCGAAGTGCACTAGTTGGCGAAGTGATCGGGGCCGTGCCGATTCAAAAGCCCGTACGGCCTGTCTTCAAACTCGACCCACCTTCCCTTCCGATACTTTTATAAACTCCGACTTCGCTCGATTTTAACTAATAAACTAGCTCATTATACGAATTTGGAAGAAACTTTTTCATTCTATCCTCAGGAAGGTCTGTCTCAAACCCTCCGGACAATTTGGCATCAGAGGAGCCCCTGTCTATAAGATAAAATCAAGAAACCTAGTACCAGTTTTCTATTTAGACAGCGCGCATGTAAGTTTTTTCCTTCACCCAATAGGCCCGTTGCTTCCTGCAGTTGCCGCTTGAAGTGAGCTCCCTCGTGCGCGCCGCTCTCTCTCTCTCTCTCTCTGTTTCTTTCCCACCAGCGAGTAAAGAGAAGAGAACGAAGCAGAGAAGAGAATACGTTGGAAGTCTACATATTCGATGCCAATGAAACCCCTGCCTTCTTCTTCCGCCAGAGTCCCCGTCAAGTTCAAGATGTGAGTTGGTCCCTTTTTCTTTCTTCTCCTCCTCCTAGTACGAATCTTTGCATCTTTCAATTTGTGCTCTTTCGAACGTGTGAGGCTATATCAGTCGCGAAAACTGAAAACCCTTCAATTTCTTGGTTTTTTTTTTTTTTTGTTTCTTTGGGTTGCCCCCCCGGGAAAGCCCGACGGCTGATAATCTGGTGCCGATCCGACTGGACATTGAAATCGACGGGCAGCGTTACAGAGACGCTTTCACTTGGAACCCTTCAGGTAATTCTTGATCTTTAATCTTGGGTTTATTCTGAAATTTCGAAATCTTGAAGTTGTTTTCCTTCTGAATTGGGTCTTCAATTGAGCGGCTTGAAGAGGGTTGAAGATGGTTTAAGCTCGATAAAGGGTGTTTTCGATTTGGGCAGGTTATGTTTGTTGTGTTGAAGCTACAACTAAAAGTGACTGGAACAAAAATAAATAAATGTAACTCCGCAGGCTGGAAATGAAGACGGTCACTTAACAGAAAAATATAGTATTTCTTGAGAATCATATCACTGGCTTTTTCGGAATTAGCTTTAGCAGAACTAGGCTTGTTGCAGTTCCGCTTGTTGAACTCCAAATTATTCAACAATTTTGCTCTATAGTGCTTGTATATATTGGTATGTCATGGGTGTTCTGCAATTTTCTTTTGTAAATTTGACATTCTTGTCAATTTACAACTTTAAGTAGCTTTTGGGAACTGATCTTTTGTCGACTATAGTCTGCAACCCTGCAGTTAATTCTACATGTAATGTGAAGTGAACTGATGAACTTCGTGGACAAGTAGCTGTATTTCTCTCACGTGCTTTTTCCATTTATTTATTTTTTTGATGGTGTAGATCCTGATTCGGAGGTGGTAGTGTTTGCGAAGAGAACGGTGAAAGACTTGAAGCTTCCTCCAGCATTCATAACACAAATTGCTCAGTCCATTCAAGTAAGCAAACTATGGCAGTTTTGCCGTTCGTTTAGTTATATTGACACATCTGTCCAAGATTTAACGAAAAAAATATTTGTTGATTTGCATTGTTAATCAGTCTCAGTTGGCCGACTTTCGCTCATACGAGGGCCAGGACATGTTTGCTGGAGAGAAAATTGTGCCGATTAAGGTTCTTCCCATCCCTTATGTTTAAGCAGTGATTTACCTGTTTGGATGATAAAATGATATTCAAGCATGACAGTGCCTTGCTTTTTTTTTTTTCTTTTCCAGCTTGATATGCGAGTGAATCATACTCTCGTAAGAGACCAGTTTTTGTGGGTAAGGTTAAGAATCTGCCCATAGCATCGTAAGGCTTATGCGGTCCTTGCTTTGTTGTCTTAGAGGTTCTGTCTTCATTAATTTGTTGTCTTCGAGTCTCAGTAGTGATTTTGATCTTGATGAATTTCAGGACTTGAACAATTTTGAAAGTGATCCTGAGGAGTTCGCTAGAACTTTTTGTAGAGATATGGATATTAAAGACCCAGAAGTCGGGGTAAGAGAAACTAGTCTACTACAGCAGCTCAATCAATTAAAGATGAATTTGCCAGATATAAATGTGCTTATGAGAAAGTAGAGCTGCAAAAAGGAAGATGAATGAAACAAAGAGAGAGACGAGTGGAGTAATTGTCTGAAGTATTTACATCTAATTGACTGCAAGTTGATATAGTTTAGGCCTGATCTGAATATGCTTTTATCGCGGTGGAATTTAGATTCTTTCGATATTCTGGATTACTTAAAATGGAAAAAACCATGTACAGAAAGAGATCTCTTTGCTACCTTTTGGCTTGACAAGACATGATTTTCTACTTTAACTCTCTCTCTCTCTCTCTCTCGCGTGCACACACACTCACACATACATATGCATCGGTTACATTTTGACTCATGGCATTATGCTAAGTGTTGTTTGTTTCTTTTCCTGCAGCCAGCAATTGCCTTTGCAATTAGGGAACAACTGTATGAGGTAATATTTATGTGGCTTGATGATCTGTTACATGTCTTTTTCCTGCTTTCTTGGTTCATCTTGAATGTGAAGGGTTGTTTCGATGCATAAGCATGATACAATGTCCAATGTGTCAGATTGCTATTCACAATGTCACTTCAGCTAGAGAAACCAGAATAAGCAAGAAGGGTCGCCGGGGTTTTGAATATGTTCCGGCCAGGTTGGTCGCTCACATCATGTTCTCCCGTGGTGTCATCTCAAAATCGATTCAAGTGCAATATTGATGCATTGTTTCTTGCTCATTCTCTACCTCTTTTCTCCATGACAGTAAAGCAGGTGGTATCTCATTGGACTTGGTTAAATATTTTGGACACAAAACGAGTGTCATCCGGTAAGTCTTTTATCCTCAACTTAGTTCATATAAGGAGCCTTTTCTGTTCCGATCCACATATTGTTAAGTCATGTTGAAATGTGTTCCACAGTTTTGTATGTCCAATTACTATCCAAAGTCTCCCTCACTTGACTGAGATCTGACTGTGCTGTATTAACTCATGGCTCCCACAAACATGAGTGAATATGTTCTTTTCCCTTAATCCTTTTAATTGGCACTGGAGTTTGCACTAACTGCCTCTTTATTTCTTGCTTACACTGTACTTCTTTGAAATGTCAAAATCTTTAATCTACGTTGCTCTAATCACTACTTAGGTTTACTAGAGCAACATTCGTAAGATTCGATAGCAACCTTAATGAGGTCTTTCCTAAACTTGTCACTGTCATTTCCTTGTATCCAACTCAGTCCTTCAAAGCTCTTCATCAGACTGTGCATTGTCACCTGATTTTGAAGCTATCAAGGAGCTCTTCCAATTTTATCTGAGATTAGGAATGGCGAGTAAATGGGCTTCTGGGTCTTGGAAACTATCCAAAGTGCATTTTGTGATATCGGTGTGAAGCGGCGACTAAAAAGCTCTGCTTTAACGGGTCTACTGCTGGCAATTATCTTTATGGTGTCAAGAACTCGTTCCTTCTTACTCCTCAACCGGTTTAATTATTGTTGCAGAATCATTATTGTCTACAGTTCCAAGTTGATGATTGAAAATTCTCATAATCTTGGCAAGGAAGATACTTATTGTGTTTGGTTCCTTTATGCTTCAGGAAAAGAAAGGACTGGGACGCATTTGAGCCCATTGTCGATATACTCTCGAGCGAGGAAGTAGATGCCCTTGAAGCAAGAGAAGGGAAGACTACTCGGTGATGTGCATTTGTGACATTGTGTGTTTATTAACCAAACGAATGCAAGATGATGCATTCGAGAGGCTATCTGTTTAATCTCGAGTAGAGATTTCTGTCTGTTCAATTCAATGTGCATAGGTTAGTTAGCCCATTCTGTTGGCCAAGCTCAAAACTGGATGAAGATCAAATCAGTGGATGAAGATCCATTTAGACTAGCCATTTCATTGGCTTTGGACTTTTGATCATTTGGTCTTGCAATTTTGGGCAGAGAGCCAAATCTACATTCGCATTTATTCATGCATTGGCTGTACTCTTTTACTTTGCTTCGAAATCTTAAGCGCACATTTGGCTTTGTGCTTAACATCCATGTCCAGTTTATATGTCTGTATTTGATTTTATTCTCCACGATGCGAATCCCGGCCACAGCTAAGTCGGCAATTGGCTTCGTGTATATTAGGCAGGCCGACTGTACATATTTCGGAGACTGGTTTTAGTACTCATTTCGAGGGGAAAGTGTGAAACGGGAAATATACCATTGAACTTAATGGCTACAATAATCCGATTTGGACTCAGCCTAGAAAAATCACGGCAAGGAATTGCTAGCTTAATTAGTAGCTCTATTATAGAGTGACCAAGGTTAATCGTTTGACGAGCTTAAACTACATATTAGATGTTAGTAGGTTATAATTTGATTGATCTGTATTACATTTCCATGTGCGAGAGTTAAAATTATCAAGTCGATTCAAGAACACGTGCATAAGATTAATATACTTTCTTTGGTTCAATTATCAAAATACTTTCTAAATAAAGAGCCAAGAGCAACTTCCACTCTTTTTGGTGAGGAACCGTCTCTGTCTGGTCCAACACTCATCTTTATCATCACGTTTCCTCACCATACGAACTGATCATGTGGTCTGCGCAATTCAATCTTCCAGATGCATGCCTCTTGCACGGAAGATAAGGACTTCCAAAATTCAATCAAGGTGGGCATGGACCATGAACAATTTTTGGTCCCAAATAAGACAGAAATGATAATAGAAAAGAGGAAAAAGAAAAGAGCATATTCATCCGTGCATCAAAGACAAATTTCTCCATTAAAATCTCGCCATGATCTTTCACACTAATCATGGGGATTCATTCCCTAATCACCTAACATGACTCCAACAACAACAAAACCACCCAAAGAAAAAGAGAAACACAGCAAAATCAGGCACTAGAAGGGGGCATCTCTCCCTCTCTCTCTCTCTCTCTCTCTCTCCCTCCCTCCCTCTTTTTTTCTTTTTTAAGTTTTATGTGTTTGTTTCTCCTTCATTTTGGGTCTTTCTTCATCTTGCCACGCCTTCTGAAACACACCCACAAGGTGAATACCAGCACAGCATGTACAGATGGATTTGCAAGATCAGAGACTCGAAAACACTACACTACATACACAAAATTCACATAAGAGTGATTTTGTGGACGGGGGGGGGATGGGGGGGGATGTGGGGGTGTGGGGGGGCGGGGGAGTTGGGCAATGGAGAGAGGCTAAATCAAGAAGTCATGTTGCAATGTGGAGCCTTGGACTTGTCCAAGATTGACCACATCACCTGAACATCCTCATATGCGCATGCCATCACCTCACCCTGCAGATCCATGACACTCTTCTCCTGCCCTGCAAGTGAGAGCACAAAAGCATCAACCCAATGAAGTGAACCCTCCGAATAAGCTTCTTTAGGTGATCCCAAACTTCAAGATGAGTATCTCTTGATAATTTTAATTTAACCAAGGAGAGAGAGAGAGAGAGAGTTTCTTGTTTACCTTCTTGGGACTTCTTCTCTTTTGGCTGTTGATTGAAGAAAGTGCAGGCTTTCCTAAATGGGGTGGTGATGGTTTTCTTCCAAGAAGCCATTTCTTTGGACTTCCTTGTGTTTCTACAGGAACAATATATACACAATAATGAGAGAGAGAGAGAGAGAGAGAGAGAGAGAGGAGAGAGAGAGAGGTGCAAGATCCGTGAGATGAGCTTAGAGGAACATCACTCCTTTTTTTAAATTTTCTTATCTCAAAGGTTGAGAAGCGCGACCAGTGAGAGGGCACATGGTGGGAAGCTACTCAAACAGAGAGAGAGAGAGAGAGAGAGAGAGAGAGAGAGCCAAACATGTGATTCATTTTAATATCTTCTGTCTGAATGTGACGTATAAGAAGATGGGCCTATCACTTCTCCTCCCCCACTCCTCTCTGCCATATGAAGTCAAGAAATGACCTTTTTCATGTTTTTAACCCATTTGCTTCCATCCCTGTCCTTCTACTTCTTCTTAGTTGATGGTTGAAAATTGGGCGTACTTGGATCCTCGGTATTTGGTGAGGTAAAAATGACGTTGTTTGTCTTTCGGGGAGAGATTTGGAATACCCTCTTATTTTGATATTCAGAGGTTTGGATGAAGTCTTTTAATGACATCTTCAGGTCTACTAGTTATTATTAGTTGATGGTTGAAAATTGGGTATGTGTGAGAGAATTTACACATTAGTGTTCTTTAAGGGGCAACATGCAAGTACTTGCTTTGATATGAAGTTAGAATTTCAAACTTCATTGGACCTCAACTCGATGAATTTGCAGGATTTTATGAACTTCATTTCGATCCTCTAACCAACCAATCCCCTTAGGATACCGATCTCGAAAATCTCTCGCACAACAAGTGTCGCTAAGTGTCGTGTCTCTTATGGGGGCAGAATTGAAGCCGATCCAAAAATTCGAGATGCAATTCAAAGTCCTTAAAGGGATCGGTGAAATTAGAAAAACCCGTGAGGTAAATTATGTTTGGTGATCAAAATTTTGTGGGTTCATCGTATCATCTGAATTTTGTTTAAATGTTATCGTTATACTAATTATAGTAAAGCGAGCTTTGCTAATCCCTTGATTAATTTGATTTGATTCTATTCAAAGTATAGGATTTTCTCTTAACGTTAATAATGAATTGAAATGACTTTTTATCAGATGCATTATTGAAAGGCAAACGTATATCGTATATCGAACACCCTTTGTATTGAGCAATTATTTGGCCAAAAAATAGGAAAAAAAAACTTATAAAACTAATTATTTTTTTCTTTTTTGCGAGCCAATTCCATGATGAAATCAAGTAAAATGTTCTTTAGAAGTTGCTTCATCAAGGAAAAAAAAGAGTACCATCAGATTCGCTGATGTCAGGAGCATGGATCTACAATAAAAATCATTGGCAGGTTCTTGATTTTCTTTCACATTAGAGGCTCATGTGATCTCCACATGTTTTGGCATGAAAGCGAGGACTGAATTGGACAGGGATATGATGTGGGGCCCAATATGTTCTCCTAACAAAAATTTACAAACAAAAAGAAATCATAAAATAGCAAAATTAAAATTAAAATATTACAAACAAAGAAATCATAAAATAACAAAATTTTATAAAAAAAATATTACAATCTCAATGTATTAACTTTTCTCATAAGTGTATCATCAAATTCAGAAAAATAAATTTCCGTTTATAAACTATGTTTTATATAGAGTTTCATGGGTCGCTCGTCAACATGATTCGAATATGAATAATTTTCACTACTCACCTTGGGATGGATCAAGTGGTAAGGACGTTTTCATGTTTTCAATTCATGAACCAATGGTTGTGAGTTTGATTCCAACTTTGGGGAACTCGGATTTCAATTGTGCTGAATTTCTGTGTTAGTTCCTCTTTGGATGGCCAGATAATTACGATCATACCCATGATTCATAAAATGAAAGGAAAATTTTTACTAGGGTCGACTATTTTGGGCTATATTTCACTGTGGACAGAATAATGGGGATTTACTTGGATATAAATTATAAAAAAATATTTCGCCACTAATATCCGACTTTAATGTGGATGGCCTGATTTTGACCAAACTGGGGAGTAATTCTCAATTTGATACTCGAGAATTGATTCAAAAAATCAAATAATCTTTGAAAACGAAGATAACATAAATTTGGTGAAAAACATTGTTACTTAGCCTTTGTTTGTTTCGCAGAAAATAAATGATTTGAAATTTTTTTTTTGAAAAATGATCGCTTGAATCGCTTGAAATAATTAGTCAATAAAAATATTATTAATATCGACAATAATTTATGTCTAAATATTACCGTTGACAATGAAAATTTTTTGCGTTTTATCATTTTCGTAAGCGATAAAAGCAATCGTTTTTCGAAAAATATTTTTAAAATTATTAATTTTTCGTGAAGTAAACGAAGATTGTCCGTGATTCTCAATCATGAGTTGATGATAACATTCACTTGCTTCAACGTTCCACCGCTTTATATTTTAATCATCTGATTAATATTCTCGAGGCAACATTACAAAGACAGTTTCCAGCATATCCCAGACAAAATCTTGTGCCCATTTATTTATTTTTATTATGAATGCTTGACCTAAACTTTTTATTCCTATTATTCTCTTCCTTCCAAAGAGAGACTTCTTCGCCCCAATTTATATATGTCACAAATTCTATGTGAATTGGACGTTACTTTAAGAATTTTAATTTCTTGCTATTAATTTTAAAAATAACTCGAGATGCCCGAGACTTTACAAAATATTGGGATGTAAAATTACAGATATTTTTCTCGTATATTAATTTTTCGCCGGTTAAAAACTCCATTTGGGAACTTGTTCTTTTTAAGTTATGGATATTTCAATCTCTAATCTCTTAGCTGTGTGTCATTTGGTCCATGACCTTATCATTTACATGAAATATGTCTTTTTTATTTCTCGCGTGACCCAAATTAGTAATAACCTCTACAAAACCGCCTAAAAGCGATTCAAGAATATCCAAAATGAAAGTTTATGAACGAAAAAAAAAATCTCATTTTTTTCTAAAGTAGTATTAGTGTCAAATTCATTGAACGTAGTAGTATCAGAGCTCTTCCAATTATGTCTAATTTAATGCGCGTGATCATTTTTTAAATGGTATGTGGTGTAATTGACCTCTCGTAGACATCTTATAAAAGTCTACTGAAATAATGATAAAATCTCCGTTTTCTTTATTGCACAAACAAGATTTAAGATAAATCCAGTTTTGTCGATTTCATATTGAAATCTACAGAAAGATTTTTAGGTGCTCTCAAAATATCACGTCACACGTGTACCTAGCCAGGGAGCACGCACAAGACGTTATGCGTTGCACTATCATCTCTACCGGTAATACATGATCCAACTAACAGTTGTTTTGTATATATGAACAAGATTAAGATAAAGCCGAGTTCACTAATATGGTTAGAGACTAATATGGTTAGAGACTATGTCCTTACACAATTACACCAACCCTAGATATGGAATTAGGATTTTACTAAGGCGACCAAATTTGTCGAATCGCAGCCATTAACGACGTAAATTGCACTATAACAGCTCCGCAAAATTGATTTAGTGGTTAAGGAATTAATGTGTACGTAAATTATAAATGCATGTAACATGTTTTAGTCCTTGCGCCCTCAAGTGCAGGGCAATCTTTTGACCGGACCATCCTCTCGATCTTTGGTCGCATTGAACCCGATTCATGAGATCGAAAAGATATCTTGTGAGCCCGATATTTATCTATCTAGGAGAGTACTGCCCGTAAGCTCTATCGCTTTATATTATTTTATTTCGCAAATATAGTCTGGTGAAAAATAATTTTCTTTCTAAAAAGCATACATGAAATTTGTAGGGTGTGTATATGTGAGAAAACGATGGAACCGGAATGATGATTGCAGAAGATTTGTTGCGAATCCGTTTGTCTTGGCTTATGTCAATGCGAGGCCATGGAAGGACCCATGAAGGCCAAAAATTTGATCAGAAATCTCACTTGCAAGTGCCATATGAGAATACGGAGTGCGGACAGAGAAACATATAATATATATATATATATATATATATATATATATATATATATATATATATATATGTGTGTGTGTGTATGTGTGTCTTTGATGACAGATTCAACATAGTAGATATAACATATTCTTCATATAATTTCTCCACGGAAGAGAAAATCCGTGTTCCTCGAGTATGACCGTTTCATTCACTGAAGCCGATTGTTGGACGCTTCGCTCTTATAAGAAGGTCAGGACGGTTTCATAACACTCGGCATCCGATGATATACTTAAATGGGAAGAACATCCAAATGCAGCATAGTAGATATAACATATTCATTGTATAATTTCTCCAGGGAAGAGAAACGTCGTGTTCCTCAGTACGACCTTTTCATTCACCAAAGGAGATTGTTGTTTGCATCGCTCTTATAAGAAGGTTAGGACAGATTCATACCACTCAGCGTGCGATGATATACTTAAATTGGAAGAACCGGTTGTACTTTTATAGTACCGAAAATAAAAGTATTGGGGAGAGAGAGAGAGGCCAAAACTAGCTAGTAGCATATGGTTAGGTCCCCCAATGTCGATATTAAATTCCATGGGTCCTACATTAAGCTGCCAAACAATATGGCTCTTGTCCCCTTAAAAAGTTTGTCACTTTATGATCTTGTGGCCCTTTTGTGTGGAAGGAGCTTCTGTTTTGGCAATTCAATGTTCGCATTTGTCCCACTTGGCTTGAAATTGTTATGGGCTTAGAGATTTTGCCCTTTCCATCCTGCCATAAAGGAATCCCATGCCAGTCGGGGTCATACCTAATCTATAGATCGCTATTGATTTCCATCGATCCATCTGTTTGTGATACGTGCTCGATTTCCATATGTCGGCTAAGTGAGTCTGAACCATTTGGTGGGGAAAAGTATCAAAAAAGTTCTAAACCTATTGCGTTGGCACCAATTTAATACTAAATATTTTGATTGGAAAAATTATCCAAAAAATCCTAAACCTATTGCACTTTTGCCAATTAAGTTCTAAACCTTTCAAATTTGCCAATTGAGTCCTAAACATTTTCACTTCTTGTCAATTGAGTCCATCCGGCCAATTTTGGCTGCCCAGAGTTGACGTGGACGCCGGTTGTCTGGCAAACTCTGACGTGGCAATTTTTAATTTTTTTTAAATATTTTTTTCGAATTTTTTAATATTTTTTTTCAATTTTTGGCCTTCTTTCCTCTGATCGGCAAGGTCGAGCCTCGCCCAGCCAAGGCGAGGTCGACCTAGCCCAGCCAGGGGTCGGCGAGGCTTGCCGTCGCCAGTGGCCGGCGGGGGCAAACTTCTCCAAATGCCGGCAAGGTCTACCTCACTGGCCCTCACCTTTGGCCAGTCGCCGGTCGCCGGACCGGCCATAGGGAAGAAGTCAGAAAAAAAAAGAAAAAAATATTAAAAAAATTGAAAAAAATATTAAAAAATTGGTGGCCACGTCAGCGTCGACCGGCCAAAATTGGCTGGATGGACTCAATTGGCAAGAAGTGAAAAAGTTTAGGAATGAATTGGCAAAAGTGCAATAGGTTTAAGACTTTTTGGACAATTTTCCCCATTTCGATTGGACCAATTTAGTTCTAAACTTTTTCAAATTATAACAAATTCGGTTTATCCGGCCAATTTAAGTTGGAAATTATGAAGTAGACACCGGCCGTCCTACGTATAACGGCCGGTGGACATTCGGTCTTTGTACATATTCTTGAGTGCGAACGCGCAAATTGCAATGTTTTATTTGGGCACGACGGAACCTTTTTAGGGGCTTTATTTGAATGTTAAAGGGCCTTCAAGTCGCTATAACTTTTAGTTAATTGGAATGCTAAAGTCGCAATATTTTGTTGACGTACTCTGCTTACAAAAATGAGGGATATGTTAACTGGAAGTCCCAAAACTTGTCACGAAAGTGCATTCTAGTCCTAAAACTTGCAAAAAGAGCAATCAAGTCCTAAAACTTGTCAAATTGGTTCAATCGAGTCTTAAAGTTAATACCGTCTAACTTACTAACGGAAAATGCTAATGTGGCGTTGACGTGATTTATTTTAATATTTTCTCTCTTCTATGTGGCGACAATGTGGCTAAATTATGAAACATAATACTAAAACAATGTCATTTTGGCTTAAATTTGATTTTTAATACTAATTTTATTTAAGCTCAATATTAAAAAAATGATGAGGAGAAGTCAAGCGGGAAGGGCTGCAAGCTTATTTTTAATATTTAGCTTATTTTTAAAATTTTAATTTAAATAAAATGTGTATTCAAATAATTATAAAAAAGCCATGTAATTGCCTTGTAGGATAGAAAAAATAATTAAAAAGTCACGTCGACATTTTTTGTTAGCCAAATAAGACAAATTTAACTTTAGGACTCGATTGAATCAATTTGACAAGTTTTAGGACATGATTGCACTTTTTGCAAATTTTTGACTCAAATGCACTTTCTTGATGAATTTTAGGATTTCCAATGAACATATCCCTTATTTTTATAAGCAGAGTATGTCGACAAAATATTGCTACTTTAGCATTCGAATTGACTAAAAGTTAGAGCGACTTGAAGGCCCTTTGACATTCAAATAAAGCCCCTAAAAAGGTTTTGTCGTGCCTAGATAAAACATCACAATTTGTGCATGTGTGCTTGAGAATATGTACAAAGACTGGACTTTTAGAGACGATTCACACAAAGATTATGTCTTTGGAAACATTCTGATGCACAAAACCTTAAGCATTAGGGGTGAACATGGTCCGGATTGGGCCGGTCCAACACCAAACCCAAGGACCAACCCACACAGTGTTGATCCCCAATTTTTGTGACCGAGGACCGACCTTGTTGAGCCTGGGACTGAGGACCGGACCGATCCTATGGGTCCAGTCCGGTTCCAGGGTCAACCCGGGACCAATCGATTATTTTTTTGTTTCATTTTTTGTATTCCTTGAAAAGACAGACAAACTATTTCAAATTACATATCCATCAACAATGCGATATTGAGCAACCAAATTATAAACACCAGTACATAACAACATAAAATTCACACTTGCTAAAAGCTACAAACCAAGAAAACGAACACGTGACATACAATTAAACCATAAGAAGTTCAAAATACGTAATATAAACAATGAATTATATAACTTCATATCTTGTTCATTCTCAAATGATCGCTTCAACCTCCGAACACCTAAAAACAAAATAAACAATACACATAATTAATACTTAACAAAGTATATTTGTCCAACGGAGTTGCGCTCGTAAGGCGAGCAAGGTGAGCGGAGAGGCGAGTGAATAGAGGTGAGTGGCAAGGCGAGTGAGGCAAGCAAAGAGAGGCAAGCGGCGAGGCGAGTGAACATAGACGAGCTAGGCGAGGTGAGAAGGCGAGGCGGTCGAGCGAGGTAGAGACGTGCGAAGAGGGTTTCTATTTTTTTTGGTCGAAGTAGAGCTAGGTTTCTTTATACTTTCTATTTACACGACAAATTGAATTGCATAAGAAAGCAGACAATAGAAGAGGAGACGCTAGGATTTAGAGTAGATAAAAACATACAATGTATAATATATATTATATATAATATATAATATATAATATATACAGGGTTGGTCCGGATTGGACCAATCCTAAACTCCTAGGACTGAGGATCAACCCACACAGTGCAGGGTCCAAGGATTTTAGGACCAAGGACCGACTCAAACCTCCTAGGAACCGGACCAGGATCGGCCGGGTTGGGCCGGTCCAGGGTCGGTCCGGGGTTGACCCGGACCGAGGTCATATTCCAGCAAAATAATAATTTTTGGGGGAGCAAAAACAGTGATTTGATGAGTACCAAGTTCATAATAATTTACATAGTGATACTTAGATGATATTATGAGGAAAGTACAATGATATGTTGAAACGATTAGCAGGTCAGACTGTAGTTAAGATTTTGCTGAGTGAATGTATGCTTTGATTCCTATCTTTCGCCTCAAGGTCCAAATTCTAATTTTTTCTTTTGAGTCATATGCTATCAAGCAAGGATTGGTGACCCAAAGGAAAATGACTGGATGGCATGAGAATCAGCAGGACCCGGAAATAGTCTGTATCATATCATTGCTGTGCTGGTATGAACATATTTACAACGATAATACTGATTGACGGTGGGAATCCTGACAGGATAGCAGCTTCACAGCGCCGCACTTGCCACGCCGAGGACAGTGACCTCTGCGTCCACCACGTAAGTGTCCTTCACCGAATAGTTTGCGTTCAGAGAACGAAGGTTGGCATGCGGAATGAATCTCGCCCAACCGGACTCCTGGTTCAAAGCGCTGAACCAGTGATTACCTGCATGAGAGAGACGGAGAGAGAAAGAGAACACGTTTAAAATGTCAAAAACAAGAATTCGATCGCTCGTAGCTTGTTTTCTTACGAGAAATGGTTACCTTTTCCAGTGTAAGCATTTTCTAGATACTGATTCATGAGGCGCAGCGAGTAGCTTGCAAATACTTTAGTGACAGGAGGAAGGGTGTCCACGTCGGCAGAAACTAAATACACTGAGACGAAACCTCCGAGTCCGCTTCCCTTCCCGTTCGGATAGAGCCGTATTTTCCTGAATGAATGATACGCGCTGATCCATCAATGTATTCTGGTTTTCTACACTTCACAACTTTAATCGAAGAATAAAGTGATTCGCTAGCTTAAATGCCCAATCCCATTCCTTCTCGGAAGGGCAGATGGTACTGAACTTGGTGAGGATTTTTTTTTGTGTCGTAGTAAAAATTTTGGACCGTGATTCCTCCATCTCCGGCAGGAAAAACATGCCTCTGTTGTTGGGTTACAAATGTTGTAATGTCCATGTTTTTAACCTACCAATCAGAAGACTCGTTGGAGCAAACTTTATCAGAAAATTATGAACCAACATTAGTCAAGAAAGTTCATTGTTATCCATGATCAGTATAGCAGCATTTCACAAGCCAAGTGAGCAGAGGAGATAAACATCCAATTTTTTAGCCACATGCCTATATGAAGAACGTCGAGAGCGATACCATTTCTGGTTTCCGGCTATGAATACTGTCGAGTCGTAGAATTCCTTGTTCCATTGTGAGAAGTTAAAGACCCACCACACGTGCTTCTGACTGATTGCGTCCTTTATCATCGACAGGTTCTCTCCTTGGCCGGTGCTCTTTTCTCTCGTGACGAAAACTTCCGCGCCGAACACACATGTATCATCCACGAGATATCCGTTCCGCGCATCATTAAACGTCTTCAGAGGAATGAATTGGTCGAAGCCACATTCGAAATTCATCGCGTCAAAGTGCCATTCCTTTCTCATGGCTTCTGCTGGGAGGACAAGAATTATATCAATCAGCCAGTTCTCGCTGCTTATTTACCTTGAACATTCGTTGCTTAATTGCTTATGCCCATTAAGAGTAAACTTACATGGATAAACTCAAACTTAAATGACTCAAAGCATGAATAGGAAATATTGAGGAGTATAAACAGATGAGAAAGTGACGAGATAATATCTGGTTTGAAGCTATACCTTGGATTATCAAGTAATTGTCTTTGTGCTGGTCACGCAGAGAGAATCTAACTAAAGCATGAACTTCCCAACCTGAGGGGAGCGAGCTTGTTTCTGCCATTGACAGGTAAAGCGAGACATGCTCCTTCACATTCTTGCTCTTGTTCCCATTTGGGTAAATAACCAGCTTCCTTTGAAAATAAGAAGGAAGAAGAATCACTGTCTAATAAACCCAGAAAGATTGGTTAATAAATTATGTGGATGGGAAAAGTGAAGGATTGTTACCATTTGTAGCCCCCAGCTTGGAAGACCCCCGACTCATACCTGTCCACAGAGTTCATTGAGAGAGATGAGTATGAATGTATTTTGACCACATACTGAGCTGGTGGAGCTGCAGACACCATTCTCTCAACTCCTGCAAATGAAACACAAGGCAAAAATTGATGACCGTCAAGCACATTTTCAATGCTCATTTGTACAAATTGCGCACGCTCGATAGAGAGAGAAAGAGAGAGAGAGAGAGAGAGAGAGAGAGAGAGAGAGAGAGAGAGAGAGAGAGAGAGAGAGAGAGAGAGAGTCACATACCCTGGAGATCATCAAATGCAGGATTAGCCATTTGCAAAGTAAAGAGACTGATGAGAGGATCCGTGAAATTTATTGGCTTATATATAACATTTCATATGCATTTGTTGCTAGCCTTTTTGAAGTTGCTTTGCAGCACCGCTATACTTTGCTTAAAGATGAGTTTCTTTTTCGTTCTAGGGATAGTATCCAGTCCTTGCCCTGATTCCACTGAAGAACCGTGAAAGCAAAACACTAGCAAGGAAAAGAAAGTTCCGATCCTTGCCCTGATTTCGCTGCTTGCTAGTCATGGCATGATCATACATAAAAATGAGATATTTGGTAAGTGCATTTGCACATCAAAAAGATAAGTACACCATAAGTACTAATTATTTCTCAAAATGCAGTCAAGTCATGAAACTTACAATAACACAATCAAGTCCTTGAATTCATGAATATCATAAAATCAAATGTCTCTTTAAGATCCTTGTTTAAGGTGATGGTAATATTTAACGTGGCGGCTTTTATTTTTACTCAAAACTTTTACGGGTAACGATTAATTTTTTCAAAACTAAGTGGATTCAACTCAACCTAAAGTGTGCTGCTATATCCGATCGAATATAAAATGTGTGTTTGTTTCGTAGAAAATGAATGATTTAGAAAATATATATATTTTAAAAATAATCGCTTATATCACTTACAAAAATAAATCAACGAAAAATATTTTCATTGTCTAAGAAAATGTTTAGACATATATTATTGACGAAAACTCAAAGATTTTCATTGACTTTACATGCGATCATTTTTCGGAAATTTTTTTCAGATCATTCATTTTTCGCGAAATAAACGGAGTCCAAGTGTGTGTTTATGCCTTTTAACCACAGAAGAATTGGTAATTCTCCGGCCAAAAGAAAAAGGTATAGGTAATTTCATGTTTCAGTTGAAGGATCCTCTGCAACTCTCAAGCGAAAAAGTTTAATTATGAATTACACCTGTGACAAAGGATAATCATTCTTGCTATCGCATACCAAAAATGCATCAGCATGGTGATTTCAACTTATACAGCAGGTAACTTATTTGATTTTGTCTAGCTAAATAACTCGTCCTAATTTCTTTTTTTCCAGAGCATTTTGTGGAACGAGAAGACGACGACCATGAGCCCTCTCTTTTCAAAGACTACCGTAAGGGGCACAATTTTTATGTTTCAACATCGCCAACGAATCTAGTTGGGATGGTTTTCTTAATGACAACGATGTGAACCGGCGCCGTATTTTCTTGTGCTGGTCTGGTTGTGGCGAGTAAAACCTTATCGGGTGCAAGGAGGCCCCAACTCCCAGTACTGCGTAAGTCTGAACCGACTACGCGAGAAGGAGGATTCGAACTCGGCACCCGAAGGTAGAGTCGAAACATCAGCTCCCCACAAACATCGATTCGGGGATCCCAAGTGGGATCCTGGCCAATTGGCCAAGACCCCAGTGGCTTAGATGGAATGATTTGATAGAGGCTAAATTATCATAGAGAAAATGCAAATAAATCCAATGGTAAATGGAATTGCTTAGGTTGATCTCAAAAGCAAACCCATAGTAACCATATCAAGCCGGCTGACATTACTTTGGCACTAACAAAATTAGGAATTCACTATTTGAATATGAAAATTAATATTGTTTGATCTTCTTCTTTTTTTAATGAAATTAATGCCTAACTCAATTTTGGGGAAAAGTGCCAAAAAAGTCCTAAACCTTTTGCATTAGTGCCAATTTAGTCCTAAACCTTTTTTTGGTGCCAATTCAGTCCTAAAACTTTTGCATTGGTGCCAATTTAGTCTTAAACCTTTTAAATTGGTGCCAATTCAGTCCTAAACCTTTTGTTTTTGTGCCAATTTAGTCATTCCGGTCAATTTTGACCTGAATTTGCTGACATGGATGCCTGACCTACCAGAGGCTGGTCACCAGCGTCGACGTGGCGCTGATGTGGACAAATTTAATAATATTTTAATATTTTTTTGAATTTTTATTTTTTTCCTTTTTTTTCTTTTTTTTCCACTTTTTTTTTTTTGGTCCCCCTCTCCTTCCTTTGGCCGGTCGCCGGTCCAACGACCGGCCAGAGGCCGGCGAGCTAGACCTTGCCGGCCACTGGCGAGGGCGGCGGCCTCGCCCGGCAAGGGCTAGCCTCGCCTTGGTCGGGCGAGGCTCGACTTCGCCAGATCCGGCGAGGTCGGGCCTCGCTCGACCATGGCGAGGCTCGAGCCCTCGCCGGAGGCCGCGGGTCGGGCGAGCCTCGCCATGGTCGGGCGAGGCTTGACCTCGCCGGACTGGCGAGGCCCGACCTCGCCGGATCCTGGGCGAGGTCGAGCCTAGCCCAGCGACCTCGCCAGATCCGGTGAGGTCGGGCCTCGCCCAACCATGGCGAGGCTCACCCTCGCTGCGGCCTCCGGCGAGGGCTCGAGCGTCGCCATGGTTGGGCGAGGCCCGACCTTGCCGGATCTGGCGAGGTTGAGCCTCGCCCAACCAAGGCTGGCAAGGTCGAGCCTCGCCCGACCAAGGCGAGGCTAGCCCTCGCCGGGCGAGGCCGCCGCCCTTGCCAGTGGCCGGCGAGCTCGACCTCGCCGGCCTCTGGCCTCTGGCCGGTCGCCGGACCAGCGACCGGCCAGAGGAAGGAGAAGGGGACCAAAAAAACAAGTGGAAAAAAAAAAGAAAAAAAAGGAAAAAAAATAAAAATTCAAAAAAATATTAAAATATTATTAAAGTTGTCCACGTCGGTGCCACGTCGGCGCCGGTGACCGGCCGGCAGGCGTCCACGTCGGCAAATTCAGTCAAAATTGACCGAAGGACTAAATTGGTACAAAAACAAAAGGTTTAGGACCGAATTGGCACCAATTTAAAAGGTTTAGGACTTAATTGGCACCAAAAAAAGGTTTAGGACTAAATTGGCACCAATGCAAAAGGTTTAGGACTGAATTGGCACAAAAAAAAGTTTAGGACTAAATTGGCACTAATGCAAAAGGTTTAATACTTTTTTGGCACTTTTCCCCTCAATTTTGTCATGTTCACGTCGGGATCAATAAAGAAATTCTTTAGATGCTCTCGAAAAATCACGATGTGCGCGTACTCAACCAAGGTGAAAGCACAAGATGTTATGCATGTCACTATCAAACTAAGTCCACTGGCTCCATACCCCATTGCCGGCTACCCCATCTGCTACGACCAATGTAGAAGTTACAACGAAATTAAAATTGAGAATAATAAAAGAACATATAGATTTACATGGAAAATCCTTACGGGAAAAATCCTAGGAGAGGAGAAGCAAATCCACTATGGAAATTCAAGGATTACAAAAGGTAGCTCGAAAAATCTTAAAACTTTTTTTGTTTCTACTTCTCAAATCTAATAATTTGAGAAAAAACAATATTTATACCTAATCTATATGATCGCTGTCGATTTCCGTCGATCCATCTGCTTACGATACGTGCTCGATTTCTGTGTGTTGGCTAATTCAGTCTGAACCATTTGGTGAGAAGAAAGTTGCCACCGATCAGTGATTTCTCTCTTTTTCTTCATTCAAGGTGATAAATGTCCGCCTTTAAATGGAATGAATGTGATCGAGAGATAAGTTATTAGCATCATGGAATGGTAGCCGTGGCAAATATGATGAGAATGTCACGCAATTCCAGGTCACGTCTAAGTCCTGACTTCATCTGACCAAAAAAAAAAAAGTCCTGACTTCGGAATATGTTATTGAGAAATACTTAGATGGCGTGTAAGTTTAAAAACACAATTTAAATAATAATTTTTGACTTAATAATATTGGGAAAATACCACAAAAAACCCCAAACTATGTCACTTGTGATAAATTTATCCTAAACTTTTTTTTGTGACACGAAAAATCCCAAACTATACCACTTGTGACACATTTACCTCACAATACTTTGGCCTATGGATATTTTCATCTTTTTCCTTTTTTTTTTTTTCTTTTCTTCTCTCTTCCCTCCGTCGGCCATGGAGGAGGGAAGCCGTCGAGGGCTCGTCGGCGCCGGGCAAGGGTCGGCGAGGCGCCCTCGCCGACACCGGCGAGGGCAGCCCTCGCCCGACGCCGGCGAGGGCCGCCCGACGCCGGCGAGGGCCGCCCTCGCCCTACTCCGACTCGGGCGAGGCTACCCTCGCCGGCGTCCGGCAAGGGCCGCCCTCGCCGGTGTCCGGCGAGGGCCGCCCTCGCCTGACTTCGACTCAGGCAAGGGCTGCCCTCGCCGGCGTCGGGTGAGGGCTACCCTTGCCCAGCGCCGGCGAGGGCCGCCCTCGCCGGCTTCCCTCCGCCGGCCATGGTGGAGGGAAGAGAGAAGGAAAAAAAAAAGAAAAAAAAAAGAAAAAGAAAAAAGACGAAAATGCTCATGGGCCAAAGTATTGTGGGATAAATGTGTCACAAGTGGCATAATTTGGGGTTTTTCATGTCACAAAAAAAAGTTCAAGATAAATTTGTCACAGGTGGCATAGTTTGTGGTTTTTTGTGCCATAAAAAAAGTTCAGGGTAAATTTGTCACAAGTGGCATAGTTTGAGGTTTTTTGTGGTCTTTTCCCATAATATTATTAGGACTTATGATCTATTCTTCATACAACTTTGCCTAAAATAGTTGTTGAATCGAAAACTACCAAATTCTTTTTTTGGTAATTTTAAGATTTAGTTTTTTTTTGTGTATTTTTAGTTGAATACACGGTACTTGTAAAGAAACTACCAAATACATACTTGAGTTTTCATCACCACCCGACACACAACTTTCATACCTTTGCGGTACTAAAATGGCGAAAATACCCTTCATCTCCGAAAAGTTCTAGCCTCACAAAATCCACACGCTCAAATTCTCAACCTAAGTCCCCCGCCACCATTCCCCATTGCCGGCAACCGAGCCCATTGTCTCGGATCACCCCTCCAACATTACACCCATTGCGGTGGCCATGGCCGCGAGCTCGTATCGGGGTTCCTCTGGAGACAAAGCGAAGGCGGAACATATCTCATGGAAGGATAGACTCTACTGTTTCGCGAGAAATTGTGTGATGGATATAAACTATGTCGTCGTGGTGGCGGAAGGAGGAAGAAGAAGGCATGTTCTAACGATTTCAAG